AGCAAACAGAGTGTTTTTAAATCTCTGTGTCAGGCTGGCAGCACTGTCGTAACAAACTGAAGACAAGAGCAGACCTGTGTGTGGGCAGGGAGGTGAGAAATGTGTGTGTTTCAGTAAAAGAGAGGGAGAAAGTTGAGTGTTATCACCAACTGTTCATGACTTAATAGCAATATTGCAACATGAAACTTATGAGGAAATTGGCCAACTGACCGACTTCCTGTCTCACAGTGAGAGCCAATCAGACACAGATGAGGCCGTGTTGAATAATCGTGTCTTTACAGGCAGCAGCTCTGAAGACAAGCAGCCACTAGAGATCAATGCAAGACCTCCCACACGCCCAGAAGGCCATAAAAGGACAAAGTTGAGTTATTGATTAGTGCCTTGCAAAAACAACAAACTGAGTATGATATTTATGTCAAGAGCTTTCTACTAATAAAGTTTACATTTTCTTAAATATGAGCTTGGATCAGTTCAGGCAGTGGGGTTATTGGACAGGAGTATTTGAGTGTGAGACCGAGTGGGTGGAGGAATTTAAATGTATCTTTAATCACAATAACAGCAGGTGCTATCACTTATAAGTCCCTTCCCAGATCCTCTCTTGCTGATGGAGTGTTAATTACTGACATCGCCTGCTGTAGTCTGGCAACACATATCAACCCTGTATGACACATACGAAAGACAATCACTGTAATTGAGGGTTTTTGCTACTGGTTTGGAGTCCTGTGAGTTCATTATAGTCAAGATGTGGGGTCTAAGTGTTTGACAGGCAGCTTTTAAAGCCATTATCATCATAAATGTGACATGATGTCCATCTTTAAGTGCAAAATACTGCTACTCGATTTCTTCAACAGCATTGAGGGAGATGAGGAAACTGATTTCTCCTCACAGATGCAGAGGAAGCTGACAGGAAGCAGTCCCAGTGTGTGTAGTGACTATGTTGTATTTATTGCATTCCATGGCACCAGTACTACATTCATGTAGGGGCTTGCAGTGTATGTGTGCAACTCAAACAACCATAGCCTACTTTATCACTTCCACTGTGGACTCATTTTTCATGTTTAGAGGTCTACTCTGGACTTGCAACAGTTTGCATGCATGTTTAACATCAAACTACATGTTATAAAGCAAGGCTAGCTGTTTTCTCCCCACGGGAAGGACGGCCTACCTTGATCAGACTGCTTCGTCGAGGGATCGCTTTGGAGGCTGAATCCGAACCCGCGCTCTCCCACGTCGGGGACTCGCAGCTGGGCTGCTTCTGGAGCCTCTTCACGGTGCAGTTTCCGTTTGAAACCGGCGTCTCCGGGCTCATACCGCCGCCTCCTGACGCAGCTTTCCAGCCAGCAACCGGTGGACCTACGGCGCTCTTATTGTTCTCTCCAAATTCAGCCATTTGGTGACACTTTTTTTTGTTTCAATTCTCAGTCGTCTTGAAGGCGGCGGGGCTCTGAGTACAGAGCTGTACACGGATACAGGCGTTCCATCGTGTGAAGTGCACGAGCGAGAGAGCAGAGGAAACTTCTCTCTCTCTCTCTCGCTCTCTCTATCTCTCTCTCTCTCTCTCTCTCTCTCTCTATCTCTCTCTCTCTCTCTCTCTCTCTCGCTCTCTCTCTCTCTCTCTCTCTCTCTCTCTCTCTCTCTCTCTCTCGCTCACCCACCCTCTCTCTCACACCCTCTCTCTCACACACACACACACACGCACACACACACACACACACACACACACACACACACACACACACTGGTGGGTGACAGGATGAGAGACAGCAGTGACCGACACACCTTCCCGCCGACAACACTCAACACATCTCCGCGGTGTGTTCAGGAAATGCACACGCTATGGAGGCTGTGTGCTCCTCCTCTGAAGCCGCCCCTCTCCTCAATGTAAATCCTCTCCACACTGTGCTCCAGAACAACGCTACACTATTATGTTATTTACATAAAGATCAGCTCCCCAGTGCCCCCCCCCCTCCCCTCTGTCTGCTTTGTGCAGCAGCAGCAGCAGCAGCAGCAGCAGCTAATAAAGCCGTCATCTGTCACCAGGCTGTCAGAAGGGAGGTGTTTTTGTTCTTCCAGCAACCAGAGTGTTGTTCTGTGCTGCTGCTTTCTATTAGTGGTCAATAAATCAGTAACTAGTGCTCTATATGGACAGTTATAATCCACTTTTAAAGACACTTTTTTGGGCTGCCAGGTTGTGAAAGGTGGTTATTACTGGTTTGATTGTTTATTTATAGAAAAGGGCTGAATAATATCTTGACCAGAATCAACTAAAACTAGCCTACTTTATTAACAATAACCTCTAACAACTCTTAAAACTCTCAATTGATGATTTATTTACATATTAAATGCCCACCTGACAATAAAGAAACGTTATAATGACTTATAAACATTTATAACTGCAGACTTGGTAATTTAAACTTTTGAATTATAAATATGAACACATCGATGCAAGCCAACTAAAAGCCTCGTAAACTATGGACTTATTTTGAAACCATTTACACATCACCTATTGACTTTCATAACCACAGACATCACACTTGTGAATAATTAACATTTATAACTGTAATGTCTGATGTATTAGTCACCTATGAACATGCATTGCTCGGGGATGGATGCCAAGATGCCTTCCTCAAGGGTAAATGCCAAATAAAATTAATTAGCGTTCTCTTTTTTGTTGCCCGAAATCCAATTACTACAACTTAATACATTCTCAGTGAGAACAGAGAGCGGTGCATCCATGTCCTGCAGACTGGTGTCCATATTCCCTGAACTGCAGAGTTTCTGTGACTCTGCAAAACAAACACCATGCTCTAAATAGCTGAAATGATTTTGTTTGTTGACACACAGGTAAACCAATGCTTACCCAAATCAAGGTCGGTGCAACGTTTACTGGTGCAAAACTAATGTGCTGTGTGATTTATGTGATTCATCTTCCCCTTCATTTTCAATATTATTCCCCTATGATAAAGCACACATTATCAGCTCCACCTGAACATAACTTAATGGCTGCAATAAAAGTTGGGTGCCCTTGCTCAGAAAACTGAAGTATTTTGTGTGATGTAATGCAAGGTGTGACACTGGTAAAGTGTTGGAGGACATGTCTGTGTTTTCCTCCTCTTGGCAGTTTAGTTTGCTCATTTCCATTAAAGGGAAATCATCCGTCTAGCATTCCAGGGGAATCTTTCTGGAGGACATTTACACATTAGCTTAAGGAGGCCTGAAGGGACAAGAGTAGAGGACAAAACTGTTTTGAGAAGAGGACTAAACTGGATCTGTAGGCTGGACCCCAGGGTCGGATGTCCATTAATAACAGGTGGAGATGTATGGCTTCCATTAATGCCGAACACACAACTGAAGTTAGTAGCATCTGTCACCGTACCCTCCATCAGCTGCATTTCATAATATATAGTTTAATGTTGCAGTATTTCAAGTCCTATAATCTAGGCCATTGGTGCAGTAAATGGCAGATGAATTATGTTTAAACCCACAAATGCTGGCTACACGTTGATCAAGCGTTGCTGACATTAATACAGCAGCAGCCAGGCAGCACCACCAAGTTATAGTTATAGGGTTGGGGAAACTATGCCACTTGGGTCTTAACATTCCTTTCACAAAGTTGTGTGAATTAGCTTAAGCATGAAAAGGCTCAGTGGTGATTTGTGGCATGGTGTGTCATAACCTATGGCCTGTATGGAGAGAACAGCATTCATCCTGTACCCAATTTCATTATTGAGTCATGAATCTGCTTTGTCAGGACAGAAAATCGTTGTCACACTACCAGCCTGACCTCGATCAGTGATGGCGAGTGAGGTGCACTTATCACAACCAGTTTTGCTCTTACTGTGCGCACAACTTCTCAGTCCTTAATCTGAAAGGGAAAAAAAGGTTTGTGTCATAGATGAGAAGTTTAAATATGTTTTATCACCAAAGCAATAAGGTAAATAATTTGTTGGTAACCCATATGTACAAAAAGTGGTGTTTTGGTGGTATTGTTTCTCAAAATTAAGACCCACTCATACACCATATACTTTCACTTGATGGCACACTGCTTGTGCTATACATTAAAATATACTATTGGTATGGGAATGGAGATGTAGTGAGGACATTCATCATTGCGGGTACCATTAAGGATCCCTGTAACCAACTGGTTTTCCTTTGCCGCCATCTAGTGTTTGACATCAGAACTAACTACTGAGTTGAGAGAGCACTAAAAGTAGTGAAATCATCCTGTTGTTTGACATTATGTTGATTTTATTATCAAGTGATATAGGACATATTGCAAAAACCCATCACCCATTAATAACAGAAAAACCATATAGAATATAAAAATAGAGAGTAAAGTGCATCAAAGAGCAAATATATCAGCACCAGCTCGAAACACATTTGAAATATATGTTTTAGAGTTTAAAAAATATATATATTCTCCAAATCCAAACAAAGTATATTTTGTTTACAGTAGAGCTTGTATAGCATTATCCACAATGAGGGTTTGGTTTAAAACCATCTGAGCCATTTGACAAAATGTTTGTCATTTGTGTACACCAACTGCAATAATCTGGATTGTACTGGAAAAATATATGCAAATATACTATCAACCAAAAAGTTTAGTTGCAGAGTAAATCCATGTCTGTCCACATTGTAATCAATTTATTATATTATCCTATTAGATATTTGTGGGAAATGTATATAATTAGAAAATGTATTCTTGAGGTATGTCGATGTATTTTGTAAGATCACGGTGACCTTGATCTATGACCCCCATAATCGTATCAGTTCAATTTTGAGTCCAACGGGATGTTTGAAGAAATTCTCTCTAGGCGTTCTTGAGGTATTGCGTTCACGAAAATAAAGAAAAAAATTGCCAATCTCTAATATTCACACTGAGAGAATGATGTCCTCTTTAAGAAATGATTACCATTTCATTGTCATTCACTATGAAAAAATGCATAGTTTTGATTGTCATGGTTGCAAATATGTGCTTACAACCTAGCTTTAGTCCCTCCACATGTTTCTTTGGCATACAAACACATAAGCTTTCTTTGGCATTTACACATTTTTTTTAATAGTCATTATTTCTTAGTCGTCCAGCTGACAGAGGCATGCCACCCCGCGGTTAATCCAGTGTTTCTCAGGCTTGTCAGAGGGCAGCTCGATGGACATGACGTAGTTGGTGGAGTGGCCTGAGGTGGACAGGGTCCCTCTGCGAGCGCTGGTTTTGTAAACAGGACAGACATAGAGGTCTTCATGTCGGAACTTGGACATATCTCCAGGTCTGAGCTTGATGATGGGCAAAGAGTCGAAGAGGATCTTGGGGAGGGACTCTCCGATCACCATCTTCTCTCTGTCCCAGCGCGCTCCCTCCATGAAGAGACCCTTAACATAAGCCCCGTCCTCTGGCTTCTCCTCCATATGGTTCTCCTCTTTGGTAACCTGGAACACAACCACAAGCATTAATATCCAACCTATATTCTTATATGCAAATATTACAATTTAATATAACAAAAACACTGAGAAAAGTTAGAAAAAAGGTTACATGCCTCAAATTCGAAGCCAATGAAGTCTATGGGGATGGTGTACTTCCTGGCAAAATTCTGAGCCACTCCTGTTAGAAATGACTGGGTGAAGTAGAAGCCAGAGAGCCAGAAGACTGCAGGCGGGCCGTCATCTATCCAATCCTTTAAAAAAAACAATCAAGCATACATATCGTTTTATAAAAATGCAATGTAATCTTCTACCTGTAAAACCAAGGGTGCTTTACTACAATCCAAATGTCAAGGATCAGTTTAAAAAAAAAAAAAAAGGTATTCTCAAACACTGACTGTACACAATAAGGCTATTGGACTTCTTATATGTGCTGCATTCCTCTTGCCAGTCATATTCCCCATATCTTACCTTCGCGCAGGGTCAGTGTGATCCATAACAATCAAAGCTCTTACTTGTAGGAACTGCAGCCTGGTGAGCAGATCGGTCACGTAGCTCCCCATTGGTTTCAGGGAGGGGTATGACACGGCCGCCCACAGAGCGGGCAGCTTGCCCACCATCATACTGTTGAAGACGTTCTCCAGTTCGGCAGACATAACAATCTGTCCCTTCAGAGCTTTGCGGATGTTCACCAAGCTGACCCGCACCACGAGAGTGAGTCTAAGGAGTGGGGGGGATTAATGTCGTCAAATAATCATGTTTTATCAGTGTGTCCCGCACAAAACGATTAAGAAACATGAGTTATTAGTAATACATGTTTGTCTTTTCTAACAGTTGTTATTACCTGTTAAAGCGGATGATTTCCTGCCTCAAAACAGTATTCATGGACTCGTCGTACATGACTGGGTATTTTTCGATCACCATTTGTATGTCAAAGTCTTCTGGCAGCTTGGAGAGGATGTCTTCTGCAAGCTCATCCACTACTTCCTGCAACAGAGAGACGACAACGCTGAGCGTGAATATGAGACATTGAGGTTTCATGGAGTGTTTCCTCAGGGAAATAAGTGCAAGCCAAGAGTGTAAAATAAAAGTGTGAGTGCTTTCAGATAAACAAACCTGAGGAGACTTGGCCCCGCCGCCTGTCTGCCTGGGCAGCGTCAGCAGAACTCCATCCAGCAGCTGATTGGTCTCCTGGTTATCCTTCGTGATGTCAGCGTTGCTATGAAGGCCGAACACACAAGGATCGGCACAAATCGGAAGACCGCGAATGTAGTTTACATATGTCTGGGAAAGAGAAAATCGTTTTTTAACATTCATGTCATTATGGGATAGGATGATTGAAAAAGTGCTTCAGTTCTTATAGTGATCTTCCACACGGTGCCCTCTAGGCCAAACATGTAAGAGTCCAGACTAGTATAACACTCTATGATTAAAACCATTAATCCTCCTCTGGGTAATCAGTGCGATCTGCTGCTGTTGTGTTTATTTGAAACACAAGCCTGCATTGTGAGATGGTTACTCCTTGTCATGACTGAAAATGATGTCTTACTCAGTGGCATTAATTAGCAGAGCTCTCACAGTACCTGATATGGGCCGTGGCCTGGGACATAATACAGATCTCCCTCACACATGTGGTAGCACTCCTTCTCTATCAGGTCCCAACTGTAGAAGACGGAGAGAAGCGACATCAGCAGACGCCGGTCTTTGTCATCTGTCACCCTGCCGCCATAGTTGCATTCACCTAAGAAGAGGAATAAAGGGATTATTAAATGGACCGATCCAATGTCTGCTTCAAGATATCATGACCTGGTTACTCAAGATAATCCAGATAATCCGGAGAATTTCCTGTGAGAATTCATATAGGAACTATTTTCTATTTACTGAACAGACACCCACCAACTGTATCACTGAATTCTATGTGATATTCCATTAGCCGCTTTCACACCAAGTACTTTGCCGTACTTAGTTCCCAGCACTTAGTTCCCCCATGGAACTAAAGAGCAGATCGCGTTCACACCGGAATAAATTCCCTGACGGAAGATTACGCAAATGAAGCCGCTGACGTCACTTCTTCTTCTTCTGCTTTGGGTTTACTGGCAGGCGTATACTGCCACCCGAAGTCCCCGGCCGGAAGTCCCCGGAGTTGGGGAAGCTGCTTCTACTGAAGCCTTCCGAGTAAATCGCAAGAACGCCGACACCTCCTCATCACTCCACCGCTCCCATGTTTTTTTTTGTGTTGCCATAAGTTATTCTCTCTCCGTTGGTGCGCGGGGCTAATGCTAATGCTAATAATGCTAATGCCAGCAAATACAATGGCGGCTTCACAAAACTTTTCCGAGTTTTACGGGGCGTGGTTTGCAATTCGCCCAGCCAATCAGAAATTGGAACTTTTTTCTCCCCAGGAAAGTACCACCTCTCTAGCAGGAAATAAAAAGGGAGGAAAAGTTCTCATGAACTAAGTTCTCTTTTTGGTGTGAACGCAAAATCCCAGGAACTATCGGAACTAAACGGGAAAAGTACGGAGAAAAGTACTCCGGTGTGAAAGCGCCTATTGATGTTTTACCTGTAAGATATGTGAGGGCCTCCAGTGGAACGTCCTCATACTCATCCAGGAACATCTGGATCTGCCTCATACTGATCCTCAGGTCAGACTCATTAAACTCATAGGGAATATTCCAACCTGAGAGAAGATGGACAAACAGCAACAGGATTGTTTTACATTTAAATCAGATGAATGAAACAAGGAATATATGAAATGATTACAAAATGGTTTCAAATACCAAAAATGAAAACCATACATTTAAATGATCCAGGGTAAAAAAATACATTGTATCACACAAAGGTCAAACGTTAAACTAGATGTAATGTTTCCATTTCTTACCTAGTGGTCCAAAGTTCCTCCTCTCTTGCACTAGAGCGTGGAAGAAGGTGAGACCAAACAGGAACTTCTGCCAGACGGCTTGCTTCTTGGAGCTGACAAAGAAGGCGGGGTCAGAGATGGGGTGACTGAGGTAGGAGCGCAGCAGGTTGGCTCTTATTCCTTTGGGAGGCTCATTGGTCATCTTCAGCCCGTTCTGCAGGATACTGACTGGGAACTTGTCGGATGGATAACTGGTTAACCACAACCTGGGGAGAAGAACATATATTTCTTTAGCATTTTAATGCATGAACATGTGTGAGAAAAAGGTACTGTGTAGAGACGTACCTAAAGTCGGGGTGTGTGCTCTCTGGGTTGATGGTTTCCTCACAGATCCTCTCCAGAGCGGGCATCCAGCTGGTGGCCAGGTGGCAGTTCTGCAGCACCACCCAGGTGCCCGCTTTGATGGCTTTGAGAATCATCACGGCTGCAATGGGTCCTTGTCCCTGACCCAGAGAAATGGTTTGGGTCTTACTGCCCCCCATTTCTACGTCATCAGCAAACTTCAGCAAACCTAAAGAAACAAGATTATTTTTAAGACTTTTGGCAATAGCAAAACCAGAAAAGTCCCCTGAACCAAGTTTAATTCTAGCTTTTAATTCCATATTCCACTTTGATTAGATAAAGATAAGTATCATGTTTATGATTAATCACCTGCGGTTGGATCAGATCCTGGTGACAACACAAATATGAGAGGAGAGCAGCAGTTGGAGTCTTTGTAACTCCCTGCCAGGTCAAAGGTGGGAGGTTCAATGTAAGCCTGCCCCATGTTATCCATAATGAAATCCTGCACAGCTGGAACCATCTTATCTGGCCTGAAGCACCTGATCACGACCATTCTGTCCATCCCCACCAGCTCGCTCCACCGGTCAGGTAACTGGTCCTTATGGGGCTTTCCTGAATCATAGAGCTTCTTCCATTTCGACACGTTGTCTTGGACATGCTCAAAGAAACCATCCAGGTTTGCTAGTTTGGACGCCCTGACGATTTCAGACCAAGATTTTTCAGACAGCCACTCTGGGGCAGGGTTGGGGTACGGGTTATCTAGAGCGATGCCCCCTGTTAGGAGGAAGCGCCAGACTTGGTCGTCAACCTGGCCTTTACCCTGCATGATGCCTACAGTGAGCAGCAGGGAGAAAAGCAGCTTATCTTTCTCAAAAAGCGAGCGGCACACGTTATTATAAATGCTGAGAGTGAAGTGCTCCACGATGTTGCCGATCCTTTCAGCCAAATCATCGCTCATCAAACTCTGGGCGATGGAGTACAGGTAGAGATTGATGAACCAGCTCAGGGAGTACTGATACATAGGCTCGATGTTTGCCAATTCTGAGATACAGAAAAACAAAATGGATGAGTGCTCAGCCACGGGGCGGTAACCCATCCGAGTGTCATCGATCTCTTTCTCTGTGACACTGGCAATTTTTTGTTTCTCTGATATCTCCTCAGAGAGGATTTTGGAGGATGACAGGACCTTAATGGCGGTCTCATCCTCCAGGATATTCCCCTCAGAAGAGGAGAGCACTTGTAAGATTTTATCCTCAATTTCCTTCAGCTGCTTGTTGTTGGCAGCACTCTCCAGAATGAGTTGGTTCTTCTTCTCTTCCAGCTCAGGCTTCTCTTTGGCTGCTACGAGCCCTAGAAGCTGGTCCTGTAGGCCCTGTGGCGTGATCATGAAGTTGAGCAGACACACTTTGACAGCCACCTCTGGGAGATAGTGAGGGTTCCTCAGTCCGGTGGTCATGTAGAACAAAAAGTCTTTACAGTATTCCACGATATTCTCCCCAATCTTCATGTACTCCACACCCTGTTGTTTGAAGGTCTGCTTCAGCAACACAGTTTCGAGTACGGGATCAAGCTCCTCCCCCACGTTCTCCAGAAGAACTGGGGTTCCAAACTGGATGCAGTTCTCCAAGACTCTCACATAGTTTGGATCAGACATTTTGATGACGGCAAGTTTATTCGCCTTCTCCATGTTCTTGATCCACTTGTTGGCTTGACCTTGAGGGTCAATCATCAGGGGCCACCGACGGGAGTTAAACACGATGATACCGTTGTCTGTGGAGTAGGAGTCCACTGGTAGTCCAGCAATCTGCCAGGCCCTGATAGACACCTGGTTACCAAGAGTGTTGCTAAGGGTTAGGTCCTCAGAGCAGGGGATTTTCTTCTCCTGGCACAGGATATGCCACTGCTCCTGGCACTCTATACGGTAGTCTACTGTAAATGCACCTAGGTAAGATACTGTTCCTGAAGAGAGGAGTACATCACCTGTCAGGTTGATGTATCTGCAGAAAATAAATACAGTAAAACCAGATTAATAAACTTCACATGTCATGACTTTGTGAATATGAATACACTGTACATGTTTGTATTAACATACCTAATCCCTAGAAGCCTTGCAGCCTCTGTCCACCTGTCCTTCTCTCCACCCAGTCCTCCAATCAGCTTCTCCGCCCTGATCAGCTTCTGAGAGCACGACTCAATGTTCTCCTCCAGGTCTTGCTTCTTGTTAATCATGGCGGTCAAATTATCATTAAGGCTCTGCAGTCTGTCCACCACTTTCTTCAGCTCGGCTCTTTTCACAGACAACATCTCCATCTGCACAGCCAGCTCGTCTTCGGCCAGCTTCAGCCTCTCTTTCTTGGGGGCGACCAGTTTGGCCACTCGCTCATACACTTCCATCGCTCTCACCCATTTACAGAGACCCTCACAAGCCGAGGAGACGTTTTTGATGATAGAGGGCTGGAACTCGGGGTTGTCTACAAACTTGTCTCTGATTTTTTTTATGTATGGGGCGGGAATGTTGTCTCTGTCGTAGGCTTTGAGGCTTTCCAGAAACTTCAGGTCTCCAAGGAGCTTCTTCGAGGGGCCCCAATAGTCCTCAACCATCTTACCTGCAACATATTTATTCTGTTATCATATCTTATATTGAGCCTAATATGTTTTTCATAATACAACATTGAGCTTTTTCAATGACATGACACCATTTTTCGAAGTCTTGCGAGCTTACCTGAGCCACTAGGATCTGGTTTTCTCTCGGGTTTGATGCCCTTCATGATGCAGATGGACTCCATGACTAGTTTGACTAGACCCGGTGGGTTCTGCATAGACTTTATTACAGTAATGTCTGAAGGCTTCAAGGTGTCCAAGGCTGACAGGGCCGCCTCAAGTGCAGGCATTGCTTCTGCCAAGTCCCCCTCACACTCTGTCTGAAAGACAAACAATCTGTGTCCAAACATCCAAACAACAACACTGCTCTTTTGAAAACACATGGCAGATACTGTATATTTGAGGAAAACATATTTTAACTGGACATTTCTGCACTGGCAAAGAGTATTTCTCTTAAATGACATGTATACCTTGATGGCTTGGGCTGCAGCTGCTGCGTCGTTAGCCACTTTCTCATCAGCGGACACAAGTTCTTTCTTAGCATCCACCTCAACGGTTTCCCCCTCTATCTTAACCATCATCTGATCGGTTTCAGCTGAAGTCTTGATGAGTTCTGGCTGGAGGGCTGTGAGCTCCAGCTGCATCACTGACACCTGTGGACATGATATGAAGTGTCAGTATCATTCATTTGGTCGTTCATTCAGGGTAATATTGTTTGGGTGTATCACCTGAGACGCAGCAAACTCCAGTTTCTCGAGACCAACGATGTAGCGGTTCATGGCGGTGTTCACTTCATTCCTCTTGGCATTGAGCAGAGTCTTGAAGGTGAGGATGAGTTCTAGGTAGGAGGTGGGTGTGACATAGTTGTGTCTCCTCAGTCTGGAAAAGTACCTTGCAGACATTTCTCCGACACTTGTTTGGAAGGTCTTGCACATCTCGACCACCCTGAGATCACAGAAACAGGCATTTTATACATTGCTGGATGCAAATGAGTTCCATGATACTGTTTGACAGCTGTTGCAATTATTTCTTTTTTGCATAATTTTAATGTCCTTACTCCAGTCTAATCTCCATGTCCATTTCTACATCCTCCAGGAATTTGTGGGCCACCATTTCTAGTGCATCATTTGGCCATGCGACGAACCAGTCAATAGTGCAGCAGTTGATGAGGGAGGGGAACATCCTAAGACGGTTCCTAAATGCATCACCAATAGGACTCATAGCTGTTGAATATAATGAATCCCAGTTAATTCCAACACTTTAACCCTTAGATGCACGAGTGACTGGACCCTACACTCTTCCATAAGTGGGTCAAAAAGGCGTGTGGCGCAGTGAATAGAGCGTTGGTGTTCGGATCAAGGGAGCACAGGTTCAAACCCCACTGCAGTCAGCATGTCGTTGTGTCCCTGGGAAAGACACTTCACCCCAAATTGCTCCTGTGGGGATTGCCCACAGTATTGAGTATGTAAGTGTCGCTTTGGATAAAAAGTAGCATGTAATGTGTTTTTATGCAATTTTTGTCATTTTGGTTAAGAAACATCACTTGTATAATATTTAGTATAATATTTTGGTTCACACTAGAAATATTTTATATTTAATTTGTCACTATTTATAATTTTAGACATTTTTTTTACATTTTGAAAAAAAACGTTTGGAACATATTGATGCAAAGATCTCCGCTATTCTGAGACCCTCACAGTATTCCAGTCCCTTTTCAAAACTCATATCTTCTCCTCTTGTCTACTCATAGCCCACCCCCCATCAATCCATGCAGGTTGATCAAGTTTGATAGTCCTATACCCCCCACCCTAACCTTCCCTTATATTGTAAAGCGATTTTGAGTCCTTGAAAAGCCCTATAAAAATAGAACGTATTATTATTATTATTATTATTATTATTATACTGACAGGTATCCGATCTTGCTGTGTAAAATAATCTTCCTGAGAGGTGTCACTTGTGATGTCGTCTGTGTGGTCTACAGTGAATGTATTCCTGACAGCCACAGGTGATAAGAATCAAAGGTTCCCATAGGATTCCATAGAAAATGCATGCGGGTCATTTTTGACCCACTTATGGAAGCTTGGGGTAGTAATACAAAAACTACAATTTCTTAAAATGTATAACATTTACATTTAAAATTTGAATGGCATGATATCCAAAACATGTTTTTTGAGGAATAGCTGGAATATGAAATGACAAAAAAATGTAATTACAAAGATACTTCAAGAAAACCACCTCACCGGGTCAAAAAAGACCCACTTATGCAGCTAAGGGTTAAAGAAGGTTAAAGAAAAAATAAAGAAACATAAAGGCGCCTACCAAGCACAATGTGGAGGTTGGCCTTCACACGGTCAATGAAGAAGTTGTACATAGAGAGCGGAGTGGCATCAATCTTTTTGCCCTCTAGTCGGGCGATTCCCTGCACTTTATCAATGATTTCAGCACGTTCATCGGCAGCAAACATGTTAGGCACATCCCCAGTGTTAAGCAGCATGTCAATGTCTTCTAACATGGCCTCATCCTTAATTTGGCTGTCGTTGAACAGGAACACCAGGCTCCTTCCTTCGATGCCTGCTTTAAGCATAATCTTCTTCAGGTCATCACGCCAGTCGGACATGCTGTAGTTCTTGGTCAACTCAATCTGGAACAGGACATAGTCATTGATGAAGGTGCCCAGCTTGGTGGTGCTCTGACGCCCCGAGCCCCCGATGCCCACGAGCAGAAGGTGGCCATTGTCTTGTTTCAGCACACGGCAGATGCGGGAAATGTGCTCAATGGCAAATTTGAACATGACAAGGGACATTGGTGCCTTGCTGCAGTTGTTGAACTCATCCAGGTAGAACTCCATCACTTCTTGTAAAGCAGTCATATCTGTGATTTCATCATATGCCTTAATGTCAGCATCAGGCTTGGCATAGTCACCGAAGAACAAGCTGCGTATGCTCTCATCTGCTACTTTGCCATCTGGGCTAAGATGGCTCAGGAGCTAGTAAACAAAAGGAAAGATTTAGGGTTATAAACAAAAGCTACACCGCTAGGCATTACCTCACATCGAGTAGCAGCAGCTTCTCAGTTTGTTTGTTAATTGAATCTGATCATCTGAAAACAAAGTTTGAGATTGCAGTGCTGTTTTGTGAGTTGGGAATCCTTAGATTTGTACATTTGAACTAGCACGTGGATGCAAAAGTTGTTGTCGGATAACATTTAGTTAACAGCAGTAACCCTTTAAACAGATTGTGTTCTAAATCTACTAAGTATAATCTTTTTGCAAAGGGCTTTTTGTCCACAAAACTGCAGTCTTATTTGTCCATACTTATGAAATGTAATATGCACAATAATTAAGTATGCACCTTTTCCACACTCAGCTTAAAAAAGTTTGATGTTCTCTCTTTGACGATGCCAAAGAAGGTCTCCTTGTCTTCGTTGTCAATGAGCCGGTCATAGAAAACACGATAAACTTCATGGATCCAAAGACGGATCAGTTTGTCTCCATCCTGTCGAAATCAGCCAAGAGACATGAGGAATAGAGCAATTTCGAACAATCAATTCAAACATTTGACTATTGTGTCCACTCTTACCTGCATGTGTGTGTGTGGAGCCAGCAGCACACCCCGTATCACTCGAGCAAAGTCCCGCAGGTTGAAGATGTAATGGGACTTGGACGGTGTTGGGAGGAAGCTGTCCATGGTGTCCTTATAGACCGCCATGGTGGCCTGGACCATGATCTTGCCTAGCCTTTGACATAATACAAGACAAAGTATGTATATCTGACAACCATCATTGCTATAATTCTGTTTAACTTTCTTATACATATTTGAAAAGTTACCTGCAGAAAGAAGCATCAAAGCCTTTGCTGAAGTGCCAGTCAGTAATGGAGGTGAAGATCTTGGTCAGTGTTTCATCATCAAAGGAATCAATTGAGATGACGTTCAAGTGGCGGGTGAGGCGGCCTAGCATTTCAAACAATTTGTCAATTTCATCTGCTGCTTCCTTTAATGAAATGAAGAATTAAAACATTTTTTAATTACCTGAAATGTCATTTTTCCCACCACCAGGAGGTCCCATTGCAGACATAAACAGCACGTCCACTATGTTTAGCCTGGAGGTGTCCTTCTTGTCATACCAGTGACGATGGTCAACCCACTGCCTTAACAGCTCGATGGGGGGTTGGGCACCGTAGATTTCTTTAGTAGGCATGTTCAGATCATCTATGTAGAAAAGATCATTTTCAAATTGTATATGAAAAGTAAATACATATCAAAACTTGATGATCCACTTTTAGCTATTTGTGCATCCGTATTTACCAACATAGATGATACACTTCTTCCCCACAGGAGGTCCGAACACGCCCTTCCTTCTCCGGTCCAGCTTGGCCATGATGATGTCTTGGGTCTGATTGGCTGAGGTTCGGGCTGAGAAGTTGATACAGTTTGGTGTGTACTGCTCTTTGGGCAGCTTTACCAGGAAGCTCTTGTTGATGACAGATTTTCCAGTGCCAGTGGGCCCAACAAACAGCATGGGTATTTCATGTGCCAGGTAGGTGCGCAGGAAAAACAGCTGACGTGCCGTCTCCATGGTAGGGATGATGAGGTCGGACACCTGGTGAACATAAGCAGAGTTTAAGTGAACTCATTTATCGAGGCTGTTTAGTAGGGGCCACCTCTGTAGCATAAACACACTCACATTGGCTGAAACGGGAATGATGTTTTCTTCCTTTGTGATTGAATCAGTCCATGTTTTCCACTGTCCTTGTCCTTCCTTATGAAAGAAGAAGTCATAGACAGTGCCTGCAAAACAATAGCATTTCAAATGTTAAAAAGGCAATAATTGGTTTACTATACTAACTGTATACGTTAATAGATTTAGTCACCTCTCTCAGGGAAGATGTCGTTCTTCTTGAGTGGGATACTCTTTGGCTTAGGGTGCTTTTCGTTCAGGCCCATGATCAGATTGCGGTAGAAGACGCTGAATTTGTTTCGACTGTCCCCCGAGATGGTCCCACCCACCGTCCATACAAGAGCGAATAGGAACAGACCCATCAGCCACATGGTTATCTGCTGGCTGGTCATCGGGGTGCCATCGGGTCCTGACGCAGCAATTTCATCTGGGTATAGAAAGGAAAGTTAACACACACACTGACAAAAGACTTTGTACAGTAAAAATGACTAATTTATTTTTGATTATTTCTAACCCATCAGGCAGGTGTACAACTTCATTAGACTGTAGGCCAGGTGAATGAAAGATGTTTGAACCACAAAGCGACACTCCCTTTCTATAAAGTTCAGACATGGCTGAACTAGCCAATCAAACAGGTCCACGATCTGCGGGGAAAAAGATAAAAGCAGTAGTCATACAACACATTATTTGTCAAGTACATGAAGGTTATTATATCTGAGCAACATTAGGCGCGTTCACACCACAGTACTTTTCCCACTTTAGTTCCGATATAGTTCCGAAATGTCGCGTTCACACCAAAAAGAGCCGGACCTAAAATTAGTTCATGAGAACCTTTTTACCCCCTTTTCCGTCAGTTTTCCGTCCCTGCTAGAGAGCAGGTACTTTCGTGGGAGAAAAAGGTTCCTATGTCTGATTGGCTGTGCGGAATGCAAACCACGCCCCGTAAAACTCCCAAAAAGTGTTGTGAAGCCGCCATTTTATTATCCTCGCATTAGCATTATTAGCATTAGCCCAGCGCAGAAACGCAGAGAGGCTAACGTATGGCAACACAAAAGAAAACATGGGAGCGGTGGAGATGAGGAGGTGTCGGCGTGCTGGCGATTTACTCGGAAGGCTTCAGTAGAAGCTGCTGGGACTCCCTAACTCCGGGGACTTCCGGCCGGGGACTTCGGGCGGCAGTATACGCCGTAAAGTTGTTTGCGGCCTGCCAGTAAACCCAAAGCAGAAGAAGAAGAAGTGACGTCAGCGGCTTCATTTGCCTAATCCTCCCCCAGGGACTTATTCCGGTGTGAACGCGATCTGTACTTAGTTCATCAGAACTAAAGAGTTCTGATGAACTAAGTTCTGATGAACCTTTGTGGGAAAAGTACTGCGGTGTGAAAGCGCCTAGAGTCAACTAAGACATGCCTGACTGTAATCTCACCAGTGTTCTGTGTTCAGTGCTCAGGCTCTCAGGCAGTGTGTTCATGTAGGAATCTCTGAGAGGAGTCCAGCCCATCTGATGAGGCTCCATGTAGATCATCCCACACCTTCAGACCGATGGTAACATTTCAAATCACAGATCAGATTCAACATGTGGGCTCTCTTTATTTACAGTAGATACACTGCAGGTGCTGGTTCAGCTTCTGTCCGTGTTGCTTACCTACTGACGGTAGCCGGAGAGGCTTGCTCCAGGTCAGCAGTTTCAAAGATCAGACTCATCTTGCTGCTCATCTGGATGATCTCACCACTCATCAAACAAAGCTAGCAGAGTGAACAAAACAGATGAATATTATATAAAGGCTGTAAATATCCCATATATATACCAACACACTTCAATAAATCTGGCCAGCAGTTCTTGGTATAAAACTGTTTTAATATACAGAAAAGGAAACCGTAAGAAAAATACCAAAGTGAGTGTAGTGGCTTTTAACTTTATCCATACTTAAGCCACTGAGGGATGGGAACGGGAGAACTAAGTTCGGACGCGTGTTCCAGATGACAAAACAATGTCCATACGAGTGTATATCTTTCAATCCATCGATCCTTTTATGTTGTTGTCCATATAGCCTTTCTGTTACCATTCAGATACCAATATATGCACTTCAGTCACGCTGAATACAAACAGGTTTAACACACACAGCTCATATTGACACGGCTTCTGCCGACACGGTCGAAAACTGTTTGCTTCCGTCCCAAAATACCTGCACCTGATCACCCAGTGATTACATTTATACACACACACAAGTGAATACTCCATCTTGTGTAGAAAGTTGGAACTGCATCATTAATTAAACGTGCAGATAAAATACAAACAAAGACACATGCATTATGGCTCCAACAGTGAGGAAAGAATTGAGTACTAGTGGAAAGTATGTACCTTCTTGTTGTCATCCAGCACAGTATTCATGTTCTCAATCCAGACAGCATCGATGGGCCCATCAAAGATGATCCACTGTCGATCTTCGGAGGTGGAGATGGCCTGATCTCTGTAGGTGGTTGCTAGCACACCATCAGACCACTCGTGACTGACTGGATCAAAGTAGCCATACAGCTGGCCCATAGTGACGGCCTTGGGGTTGATGATGCTATAATGCACTGCAAACTCCTCCATCAGTTGGGCTGAAAAGTAGAATGGGAGAGAAAAAAGTCTTGCAAATAATCCAGAAACTGGAAAAATATCCTTTCTTTTCCAATGGTTTTCTAAATATGATTTTAAAAAACATCTAGAGACTGAGAAACATACAGTACCTTTAAAAAGGTCTCCAAGGGCAGCAGCAAGAACTTTATATGCACAAGTCTTTCCTCCCAGAGGGTCTCCTACTATCATGAAACCATGGCGTACCAACATCATCTCATACACCTACAAACACACAATCATACATTCTGAGTATAACAACAGGCAAAACAAATATAAAGAGTCTTAAGTATTTCAAAGCGATTCTCCTCCTTGGTACCTGGATGATTTTGCCAATGAACCATGGGACAGACTGCAGGTTGAGCTTAGCGATGTTGTCGTTAAGAGCCTTGAGGAGGAGATCATAGTCTGGTTTTGGAAGGACCACGCCAGGGAATAAATCAGAGATGATACCCTGTTGGCAGCACAATAAGTATTATTAAGAAATTAACAAATGCATACTTAGGAACAAAAACCATCAGTAGCAATTACAATTGGATTTGGCAAAGTGTCTCACCTGAAACAGTGGCACGTCCTGGGCCAGAAACTTGGCCATGTTGACGTCCATCAGCGCCCTGAGCAATAGCACGCTCTCGTTCTCCTCGGGGTACTTCAGCTTCAGATTCCCTGCTGCAGTCAGCACGGACTTCACAGCTCGCATACCGTAGTCGTAGTGGTGTTGAGAAGACAGCTGCTCGGAGCACAGGCGGTAGGTGGCCACGATCTTTCCTGCAAGACTGGAGATTGAGAAGTACGATGCTTGATGAATAATTCAACTGGGAGCAAAGACTAGACCAGAAAAAAAGATACTAGCTCAAAATATTTTGAAAACATACCTGCGAGATTCAATGAAGCCCATAGAGTATAGTGAGATTTCTCCAATGAGACCATAGTCTGGCACCATCATAGCCACTGTACGGAAAAGAGCCTACAAGACAAGATTGACAGGTGTATATTTTTCGTTACTCCCATTTCTTCTTCCGTCATTCTTCTCTGTAGGCTGATGTTTAAGACTCTGCTACGGTGACATGTACCTTTAGGTTGTCAGGGAGCTCGGCCCTGCCAGCGTACCCAGGGTTCATGGTGATGAACACAGAGCAGGTAGGGTTGAGGGACAGCTCTGTCCCCTCAAACAGGAAGGTCTTCAGATCCTTGGCAATGGCCTGTTGTATGCAGAGGATCTGCTGAGCCACCACAGAGAGCACCTCCACCTGTAACACACACACACACACAAACACATTATGGGTTATTAAAGTCAACACATTGGTTATTAATATACGTTTTTGTTACTGCCTTCAGCAGAAAAAACATTTGATTGCATCGTAACTAAGAAATAAGAATATATAATATTCATCATCATGGATTGTAATTCAGAATTGTACAAATTTGCAGGTTAAATATTTAAACCAGTTGTGTTACATACAGGTTATCTTGTTTTCCTTCTGCCAATAATTCAAAATAAAACCTTGTAATTAAAAATAAAAACCTTGAGGGTACAGGAAAATCAATGTTGGTGCATATGTCTCACATTATTCAAAGAAAAATAGAGCCAATGTGATGCAGACAAAAAAGGAATAATGTTCTGTAATTTCTCTCTATCCCTCCTTTGTTTAGAAGACTAGCATCAGTGTTGTGTGTTTGTTGCAATATATCAATTACTCTCTTTGTCAGGATAGTTTTCTATTAATATAATCCAATCAACTTGGCATAACTCTACATCCTGCTGAGTTGCAAATGATCTAAAATTAGCGAGGTTTCTGTGTTGGAGGAAAACACATTTTGTTACTGTGGTGGGTGTGCAAATTTAATTCCAAATCCACAATGACTTTTGGAGTATTTGGGTCATGTCATTTAGCAGACATACACACATTTGACCTGCATAATAAAGGCTGTGCTCACCGGAATACGATTGAACTCATCAAAGCAGGCCCAGGCTCCGGACTGAGCCAGTCCTTTGAAGAACTTACTCATGGCCTTGTAGTCCAGACCATCGGAGCAGTTGAACACCACACACTAGAAACACAAAAGGGGAGTTGTAAGAAGCAAAAAGAAACTAAATGCAGGTCAGTATTTTACTGAAAGCTGTTTTGGTGTACCTGTTTAGCCAAAGCTTTTGCCAAATCTTTGGTGGTCTCAGTCTTGCCAGTTCCTGCAGGACCCTCAGGAGCCCCCCCCAAGTACAGCTTCAAAGCCCCCATAAGAGTTCTGGTGAGACACAAAATAATTGAATCAAAACCATGATAGAACTTCAAATCTAAGGTTTTGGAATCTGCCATATTTGTACCATGACATTGTATATTGTAGCTCTCCATTCATAGCCAATGATAAGGGATGAGATAGAGTGTGAGATACCTGTAGCAGCGGTCAGTCAGCGGTGTAATGACAAGACGGCCGGAATTTCCCAGATATTCATATCCATATTTCAAACAGGTGGTGATCATGCGCAGCATCACTTCTCCATCCTCCCAGAAGTAACGCAGCTGAGAAATCCACGCAAAGTCGTTTGTGGAGGAGATGCCGTCTTCTGCCAATTTCGCCACAACATCTCGAGCTAGTAGAGGAAATAAGCATGAGATTTAGTGCAAGATTAAATCAAGACAGCATATTAAAATTCCCCTTAAATAAACAGCTACTTTACCGTGAACATCTATAACAGTTAGACCACCAAGGGTCATCCTCGCCCCTCCTGACAGCTTCCCACGCACCAGCTCCACAATGTCAGAAATCTGAGCGTTGCACTTCTCCACATAGGCCTTTAGGTTTTAAGAAAACCAGGTTAGACTACAGTGTAATAAAGTCTGTGTTTTGTTAGTAAATCCTTTAAAGTTCATATTCTTTATGCTATATTATATGGTTGTAGTGCATAAATGTTTTAATTTCTTCTTTCTATTTGATATTTCTACATTCTATTGTTTGAAAATGACTGTTTTTAAATGCCATTTTATAATGTGTTTCCACTGCATTATTTCTTAATGCTCTTACTGTCTTTCATTGTTGTAAAGCACTTTGAATTGCCTTGTGTTGAAAGGTGCTATATAAATAAACTTGCCTTGCCTTTTAATTTACCGTATCATTTCTTTTGGCAGATTTGTTATTTAATTGTTATTATTTCATGTAGCCTGTATGATTGTTAATTCAGGGCATTGTTGTAAAAGAGCTTATTTCTTAGACCCTAGCCACACGGAGACGGTAACGAAAACGAACCGAATTCGATATCAAAAAAGTCTTCCGTCCACACGCAATCGGCACCAGAAACGTGTCCGTCCACACGAGACCGCTCGACCCGCTGGAGACGCTGTAGTACATATGCCGGGCCTGTAAGTGGCGCTGTACTTCTGCCACAAAATACACCAAAAGCAGCGAAGAAGACTTCACGAGCATGCATGGTTGCCATGGTTGCCCTTCTGTTTATTCTCCGCGGTGGATTTAGCAGCAGAGGTGTGGAGAGGCAGGGGCCAGGGCTCTGGCTCTTTTTCTCCCTCCCCGAGGCAAGCGTGTGCTCCTGCTGTAAATCTCCCCGGTAGTCCACCAGCAGATGAAAAACACCCACCTCTCCGCCTCTTCCAAGGGACGAGGGAACCGTGCGGCAGAGTTTCCATTAGAATTTGTTTTCGCCGGTCAACATGTCCGTTAAAGTTGAAATCTTCCGGACAAAATTATAAAAGTGCCGGTCAAAGGTCTTCTTTGTTATTTATTGAGCTTTAAAACAAATGAATAACGACTCTATATAATATAAGAATAATATACGGAGTCTCTCTTTCCTCCCCCTCTCCTGACAGCCCGTCAGTATTTTCGTTATCAGGAAATTATCGTATAGGGCGCAATCACGGAGCCGCTTGGCCCCCAAGAGCGTTGCGTCCGCAGATCTACCCACCTTGGGACCCGTTATCGTTATCTGCGTTTCCATGTCGGCCTCGTGTGGCCGAACCGTCTATATCAGGGGTCGGCAACCTTTTTGATATGAAGTGCCATTCTAAAAAAAAAAATGTATCAGCGTGCCGACGATCGTGAATTATCAACGGGGGGGGGGGGGGGGGTGAGAGGGTGTTGAAGAGCTCGACGAAAACACTCGTGAAAAGTGATGTTTAAAACTCAGTTAATGGGGCTCATTCACTGGCGCTTCCACAAACAACAACCAACATAATTGTTACATTCAAATGAAGTAGCCTATATTATTCAAGTTTACATTAACTTTGGATAATAACACGGGGGAAATGAGCGGAAGCGCTCTCTTTTCCTCTCTCCCCCTCTCTCTCTCTCCTGACAGCCTGTCAGTATCTCATGCAGCTCACTGATCCAGTAATGAGTGACAGTGAAGAATAAATATATTTATAACTAGTTCCAAAAGTAGATCAAATAGCTAAGTGTGTTAGGTCTAACTCTTGTGTGTTCTGCTCCGCTCACCGGTCCGTCACAGCGGGTGGAGCTGCAGGATTTCTGCTTCACACACGTTGCATACCGCTATTTTATTGTCTTTTTCGGACACCTTAAAATACTGCCAGACTGGTGAAGCGATTTTGGCGAGCTTGTTTTGCCGCACACAGAGAAAAGTGTCATGTATGTTACGTCTCGCGATCGGCCTTTTTGAGTGGGGCTGCGTTGCGCGCATGGCTTCCTTCTGCAGGTAACGGGGAGACGCGCTCTGGCGGCGGTCTCGTTCAGGATCCGAAAATAAAATAAATATTTTGTACACTTATTCCACTTATTCCTAGTGTGCCACTGGTTACGGTGCCGCGTGCCATTGGTGGCACGCGTGCCAAGGGTTGCCGACCCCTGGTCTATATGATAGAGAACTGTAGCGGATACGACCCATTTCGTCTCCGTGTGGCTAGGGCATGAGTAAATAGTTCCTGAACTAACAATTGCTGTTGATGAGGATAATCATGTAATAAGTGGCAGTTAGTGAGAGATGTACTGACAGGCAGTGAGTTGTTCTGGATGGCTTCAGATACTTCAGTAGTCCAAAAGATGGAGGAGGCACAAATGACAACTTGGCCAGGCCACTGCAACACCCACTTCTTCCTGGGCAGCTACAGAAAAACAAGATTAAATGTTACAACAAGGTTTGCATGTTTTTAAACTGCTTCTACCCAAGAAAATGAATGATAAAAAAAATCAGATGAATAGTTATGTTTTGCAAGTTCCTTTCGCTGGCATTTATAACTCCCCATTTTAATACAGCTCTAGTACTGATGGAAGGTTTTATAAAATAATAATAATAATAAATAATAATTCATTTATTTTATATAGGCGCCTTTCAAGGCTCTCAAGGTCGCCGTACAAACACATACAAAACGAGATACACAATACATAACACCAGCATAAGAAACATAAACAAGACAATGCAGTATATAAATCAATCAAATAAATAAAACAGAGGATGTGTGATGGATAATGATCGGGGTGGATATGCGAGTGTGAAGAGATGTGTTTTGAGACGTGATTTGAAAATGGGGAGAGAGTCAGTGTTGCGGATGTCAGGTGGGAGAGAGTTCCAGAGGCGGGGTGCAGAGCGGCTGAAGGCTCTAGACCCCATGGTGGTTAAACAGAAGGGGAGTGCAGTGAAGTGGAGGGAAGCAGAAGACCTGAGAGTGCGGATGGGTGTGTTGATGTGCAGGAGGTCGGAGAGGTACAGAGGAGTGAGGTTATTGATGGCCTTAAAGGCGAGGAGCAGAATCTTAAAAACTATACGGGATTTGACTGGGAGGCAGTGAAGTTGCTGAAGAACAGGAGTGATGTGGTTAATGGAGGGGGTTGAAGGCCAGGACTGTCAGTCAAGCGCATCACAGATTGATAAACAAAGATATATTCAAAATACCTCTGTATACTGCATCACTCCTTGATGGATGACATGTCGAACACTCTTGAGCATTAATTTCTCCACCTGCAGGAGCCACTTCTCTACCATACCCTAAAAACACACAACACATACATCCACTATGTCATGTCGAACAAAGACATTTTTTTCAAGAACTAGATATGATACCTAGAGATCAATTTATGAAAAACAAATGACTGCTGACATTTGATGTATTAATTCTGCCTGTCTCTATACCTTGGCTTGAGCTGGGTACATCTTTTCTGTAAAGGTCACAGTCTCCTTCTCAGAGCTGATCATGCCAACGATCGCCATGTCCGCAGTGAACTCCAGCTTGGCGATGCCCTCAAAGCACTTCTTCAGGTGAGGCTGCACACACAGCGGGTCTTTGGTCTGGGACAGGATCTCCAGCAGCTCGTCGTTAGATAGGAAGAAGAACCTGGGAATATGATGAAGATGTAGAGGAAAACAAATCTTGTGTCTTTATATATGTTCTGTTATATCGGGGAAACGGAAATAGCTTAATAAACACTAAGACAATTGTGTGTGTGTTTCTATGCTACTAAATTGTTTCATTTTTGGGAGTATACTAGTGGTCAAAACCTTGGGAAATAGAGCCTCTTCATTTCCAGATAGGTATTGAGGCCTTTTTGGATGTCATCTAGAAACACATTGGATTCCTGCAGCCGTTGCAGCATGTTGGGCTGAGCTGTAGCCACCAGCACATGAGTATCCTTAACCTGGACAAAATAAATCACACAGAAGCAAAGATAAGTGCATGAGACTCAGTTGCCGAGAATTTAAAAAATAGGTTGTGTTTCAAGAGGATCTTACCGCCTCAGCGATGATGTCCTTCCAGTAGCCGTCCACAATGGCAAACTTGCGTCCCTCCTCGGGCATCTGGGCGATGATGTCCTCTGAGCTGAAGATGGGTTCAAGGTAGAGCCAAGTGGACTGACACTTCAGCATGGAGTCCAAGATGTCCTGCATACTCAGCAGCTTGTCCTCCCATTGCTAGGTAGGAAACGTAAATTAGAGTTTACAAAATGCTAATCAATCCAACAAAAAGCATCATCATACCAAATAAATTAAAGGTCCCATGTCATGCTTTTCCGGTTATTACCCATCCCCTTGAGTGTTATGTAGCTTTTTCTGCATGTAAACGGTCTGCAGAGTCACAAACCCTCAAAGTACACCCTGTGGCGTGTAAAACTCAATTGTTTTCTTCTTGGGTATAGTGATGTATTGGGTATAGTGACGTAACGGCACACACACACACACACACTCAACCTTATTTTTCTCAGCTGCAGCTCCGCGGATTTCTCAGCCTGAGACAGCGGGACACGGCGAGGCACGGCCTGGGCTTGGCCTGGGCTCGGTCTGAGCACACACACAGACTCACAGCCAGGCTGCGGGTGTGTGCTCGGGCTGAGTTCGGGCTGGGTTTTGCTGTGTCTCGCTGTCTCGCAGACCCCACGCAGCAACCAGGAAGCGACACCAGTAAGCCAGCTCACACTGTCCGCTCAGCAGCGAGCCCTGCAACGTCCCTCCAACACGGCACCCAGACCCCACGCAGCATTCTAATATGTTTGTCATTACTGGTGTCATTTTCTGGTTGCTAACGCCATTGTAACACATAATCACTGATGTTCCGCTGTAACAGTGGTGGACTCATCAGAACAGAGTGGGCGAGCTGACCAATCAGAGCACACTGGGCTCACAGGGAGGGGGGGCCAGGAGCTCCAACAAGCCGTTTAGGACAGAGAGTGAATACACATACAGTACTATACAGAGATGCTGTATGAGAAACCAATGTGAGTTTGGAAAATTGCACAATATAAATCTACTCTAGTAGACCTCCACAATGGAATTATGATCAGTAGAAATGGCCATGACATGGGACCTTCAATGCTATAAAACATGGACTCACAAAAACATAAGGTAAACTAGTCCATAAAAACATTTGGATTCAGATGATTACTGGGTAGTGAATATTTTATCCTGATTCCTAAAAACAGGTTTTAAACCCGTTGATGAATGGTAATTTTATGGCAAAGCCACTTCCACTGGTGTATAAAGTGGCACAGCTGCAGTTGTGTTTATGCAGAACAGGCAATTTTGTTACTTGTTCTGGCATGAAATTGTGCTCAGGCAGCCTCTTATCTCAAACACAAGAGTTACTTCTGTGACTCTAGTTGGCAAAAGTGCACACACAGACCTTCAAAACTACACAAACTTATTTATGTATGATGGCTCTTCAACTTTCATAAACTTTTTGGAGAGTGGCGTCATGTCTTACCTTGCATTCAGCTTCGATGGGCTTAATGAAAGGTGATCCTCTCATAGTCTGCGCCTTAATTACGTGGTCATCAAGAAGCATTTGGATATCATCCACTGCTGACACAATATTGGTACCCTATAATGAAATATTAACAAGTATTTAATACAGGTTAATGTCAATGTTGGGCATGAAATGATGGGCAGTTTGAGCTGGTGACAGTAACATAACCAACATGCCAATTTCTTGTAATATTTAAAAATGTAAGATTATTTATTTGGGAGTAGTAAAAATATCAATCCACTTATATATCTATATTGAAATGTTAAATGCATTTTCATACTGTATCTCTGTATGGCGTGAAAGAGAACAGGAGCTCGTTCCATTCACTTTTCATCTTATCCATGGACTTTTCCAAAGAGTACTCCTTACTAGCTGCTGCTCCAATCTCTTCCAACCTAGGACAGAGGTCATTCATCAGCTTCAGATGATTTCCATAACTCTGTGTTACTTTAAACCATAGTGTACCCTAAAAATATTATACATTATTTCTCTTTACATGTATTCAAACGTTGTGTACTGTCAAAAAAGTGTCTTACTTTTTGGAGAACTTGGAAAGCCCCAGCTCTAACATGTTCAGCAGTGAGCTGCTCACGTCCGGTTTGACAGCAAAGCCCACAATGCTGCTGATCTGTAGACAGACAAGTGTTGTACATTATTCATCCTCATGGATCACAGGACAAGTAGGACACTTACAATGTGACACTTCATTTCTATCAGATGATCTAGTGAAACTGAAAGGTTCAGCTGACCGTCTCCCAGTGGCGCTCTTTGATGCCGGGGTTACAGATGGTCGTCAGGATGGGCAGGTGCTGCTTGAACTCATCTATCTTGTTTTTGAAGTTTTTCGCGACCCGACAAGGCCCGGGAAGATTAGACAAAGACTTAGTCAATTTATGCATGGTCCTCCACATGATGTCCAGCTCATCGGAGATTTTCTCAGCATCCAGCTTCAGGAAAGGGCCTAGGAGGTAATACAGGAAGTACACCAATGTGAAAACAGCTGAGCATCCTGCTTGCAGTTACTGTGTGCAGTGAGGTGTTATTTGTGCTATTAAGAGTTTTTAAAATGCAGCCAGTAGCTGTATGAAAATGTAAAAAATATTCACAAGTGTGATCCGCCTACCATTAATCCACTCTTCTGACATGCACTGAAAGTTTAGTGCTGTGGTCCAGAGCTGTTCAAATGGCTGTTTGTCAGCTATCAGAGTTTGGACCTGCGGGAACTCGCGCTGTTCCTTCTCCAGCAAAGTCTGCTCATTGTTGATTTCCTGTACAAATGACGCTCATATAAACATGTACCACCTACTGTACCATGATCTACAGTATGTTAGCTTTAACAACAAAGGAGTGCCATACAATTATTATTCATTTATTCTTTCATGTATTGATCCTTGCTCACTTAAATAATATCCTAGTTTTATATTGTGTTAGCTGTAAATTGGATCTTCAATAGTATTTTATTTGTCAGATAGCAAATGTTTATCTTCACGGTCAACTTGTATATTTTGTACTCATGTGTTATTTTCTATTGTGAGATTTTATAATTGTTTATATTCTAAAGAATTGGGATCAATAAAGTATATCTTATCTTATCTTAATTGCTCTTTATATTTCTAAATGTTTCTCTTACAGATTTATCATTTTTTATGGAACTCATATCACTTCAAATGGCTTAGATCTTATGTGAAAGCTGGAGGATAACCAAATATGCAATTGTGGTATCAGAAACATCTCTTACCTCTAGTTCTGTGACAGCAGACTCCAGGTTTGCAGTGATTTCATTGAGATTTCCCACATTGTTCTTCATCTCCTCAATGTTCATCACTTCCTTCCTCTTAAATGCCTGTATAGCTTTGTCCACATTCTTCAGCTTATAAGCAAATTCTAATATCCTGAGACAGTGAAACGGAGATATGACATGTCATTTCGGTTGTTAGCGTTAGAGACACTACAGTCCCTTTGGAGTATCAGAGCAAAGCCACACATTTTCTGAACAGTTAGACATTTGGAGTTAGGGATGCTGGGATTCTTAACACTAGAACCGCCAACGGGTCAATTTTACCCGCAGCTGTTTTTTTAATTGTATGTCACTTTTTTTCAATAAAATAGTCAAGTCTCCCAGTCCGTGACTTTTCCTGAAAGTGTGTTATGTAGCACCCTCTGTTGTTAAAAATGGTCAATATGAAGTCAGATTGAAAAAATCGCTCAAACAAAATGCCATTTATACCTATATCCGCCAGCGGGCAATATTTACCTCATAGAAAATGCAGCGTAAACATGACATGTTGCTATAGCAATGCCTTTTGTCTACTGCGGTTCCTTATAGATAGAGAGATAGATAGAGTGAGAGAGAGAGAGAGAGAGAGAGAGAGAGAGAGAGAGAGAGAGAGAGAGAGAGAGAGAGAGAGAGAGAGAGAGAGAGAGAGAGAGAGAGAGAGAGATAGAGATAGAGAGAGATAGAGATAGAGATAGAGATAGAGATAGAGATAGAGATAGAGATAGAGATAGAGATAGAGATAGAGATAGATAGATAGATAGATAGATAGATAGATAGATAGATAGATAGATAGATAGATGGAGAGAGAGAGAGAGAGAGAGAGAGAGATAGACAGCAGAGTTCCCGTTAGAATATTTTTTTGCCGGTCAACATGTCCGTTAAAGTTGAAATCTTCCGGACAAAATTAGATAAGTGCCGGTTAAAGGTCTTCTTTGTTATTTATTGAGCTTTAAAACAAATTGATATGATTCGACATTAAACAAAACTAATTATAGTAGATTAACTACATTATTCAAAAGTGTACAGTAATTTACAAAAACGCGGGAATAATAAACGGAGCGCTCTCTCCTTCTCCTGACAGCCCGTCAGTATCATGCAGCTCGCGGATCCAGTAATGAGTGACCCGACAGTAAAACTAAACATATCTATAACTAGTTTAGGTAGTTTGAGAGGTAATTAAAATAGCTACGTGTGATTTTCTAACCTGAAGTGTGTTTTGCTCTGCTCGCCGCTGCAGGGGATCATGCAGAGCTGCGTGTCGACTCGTCAGCAGCAGCCGATCTCTCTCTCCTGTCAGATTAGACTTTACTCGCATTTATGTCCATATCGATCAGATCTAGCTAGTTCTAGCTAATGATATGACTACCTGCTTGTTAAAAGACACCTAAACAATAAGCGTCGCTATGCAACCGGATGAGGCCACAAAGTATAGCGCAGCATTATGCATTTGTTTACATGCCCACCGGAACCCCGAGGCATTACCAACAGATCAACGCACAATCAACCCATACAGGACATCTCTTTCTCCACATTAAGTGTTAGACATTAGAATTGACAATTTTTGTCTGTCACATACTCTTTTGTCTGTCACATACTATTCTTGTCTGTCACATAAGTGGCGCAACTGATGCGGTATTGCGCTAAGGGAAAATTATTTTGACCGGACATTTTGACCGGAGAGATTTAGATTTGCCGGACTTCAGCATATTTTACCGGTCATTGTCCGGTAATTACCGGCTAACGGGAACTCTGATAGACAGACAGACAGACAGATAGACAGATAGATAGTTATAGATAGATCGATAGATAGTTATAGATAGATAGAGAGAGAGATAGAGAGATTTGTACCTAAACAAAACACAAGTCTAACACCAAGCGTTTAAATCAGCACTGGTAGCGATATTTTATACTTCATGCTATCTGCACAAACTATATCATATGAAAAGCTGAGAGTCCACAGATTCTATTGGTATACGTTTCATCCCTGTGCGATCAAAACTCACTGTTCTGTATGATAAATAAAAGAACATTGTACCTTGAAAATCAATAGCGGGTAAATTTGACCCGTTGGCGGTTTTAGGTATACAGCGACCTCTGGCGGTTCTAGTGTTAAAGCAGTTGTAAGAGGGATGTGTGAAAAATAGATAATTAAAAACATGGACATTGTGTGACATTACAAGGATGTGTTGAAAGTTGAACTTGAAATTCTGCTCTTTCTGGAGACAAAAAATATGATCTGGTTGGTGACTGGGTGGAGCTGAGGAGGGACACACCACTTAGCTGGAGCTGTAGTAGCTGTAGTGGCTGCAACTTGTGTGAAAGACGTATACTCAGTAACCTGGTTTGGAGATAGTCCTCAGCCTGTAGTTTCATGGAGTCCAGACGATTCTTGTTGTTGTCAAGCTCAGTCAGGATTTGACTGGGCCACTTGAAAACACGGGAGTTCAACCTCAAGTCACCAGCTAGAGTAAAAGAAAGGACGTATATAATTGCATTTATTCCAACATTGGTTCATATGTGCTTGGATTTACTGTATACTCAAACATGAATGAAATGTAAAAGAAAATGTGTTTTCTATGGTGGTATGAGAGGTTTCACATACAGGGTAGAGTGGCATAGTCCAGGAGGAAGCTGAGGCGGTATACTGCCGCTTCAATCTCATCTATCAACTTGTGAATGGTCACATCACTGGTCTTTTTAATGTACTGGTTGAGAGACACCAACTCATCTGTAGTTTCTGGGATGCCTCTGACGGTCTCGGTAATCTCCTGGTACTTTTGACAGATCCTGGGAAAGAAGGTTAGCTTATGGTTGACATTCTCTCTCTTCAAATCAATGTATACATATAAAAGTTTTTCTGTAAAAGGCCCTTCTTGATGTTCAGGTTAGAAAAGTTTAAGGAGGCAGAGAGTTTCCACTCACCCCTTGTTCAGCTCTCGGTTCTCCTCCACTTCGAACATGACGATCTGGTCTTTCAGTTTCTCAGCACGGTCACACAAGTCATCATTCAGCTTGCCAGCGTCGAGACAGAACATGGACATAGGCACCGTAACACGCAGCGAGGCAATCTCCTTCCACAAGTGGTTAACGCTGTCAATTTTCTGAAGATTGAAAGAGGGAGAGAGGACTTGGACACTTAGACACAAAGACCAGTTGCCAACACAAAACGTGTTCCAATGGAAAGATGTAATCACCGTTCTAAATCCGTCTAAGGAGTGTTTCTCTTCGAGGAAAGCTGATATCTCTTGCTTTGCTGAATGGTCCAGTAGATTGCTGTATTTCTTATATTCATTCAAATACCTGGAGAAAAAGACTTAGTATTAGCAGCTCTTTCACACTTGCCAGAACATCAGAGTAAATGATGCCACTTATATGTGTTTACTTTGTGGGCCCCACAGTGTTCTTATGCAAAATGTCCTTGGCTTTGTCGATAAAGTTTGTCACCAGGGACTCATCGGGACTGATGGTGCGTAGGTACAAGTTCTGGATATCGGGGAAGAGGAAACATTCCACCTGGGGAGCATAATTCACAAATTATACAAACAGAAACAGCATTGTGTGTTGAGTAATACAAAATAAATGTTAATAACGTCATCTAAGCATGTGTTGCCAGGGGGACGCTGTACCCTTGGGAGCTCCTCAGCACTCTTGATGATTTCCATGAAGGCTCTGTTGATGAACTCCCATAATTCCTGAAAGCTCGGACTAAAGTCAATGTGAGGCTCGTCCACTTGAAGCTTAACCAGCAGCACCTGACGCTGAACGTACGTCATCTCATCAAACACCTCGCCAAAGTCATTGCCCTCCTGAAGAACACAGTAAGAATACATTTGGGTGCTCCTCGCTCACAGTAATGTGAAAAAGGAATCAACTCTGAGTAATGTCCAAACCTTGTGAATGGAGAAGAAATACAACAGGTCCTGTAGTGAGTCTTGGACCAAGCTTCGGAGCTGCAGGGACATGAGAGCAGCGACGCAGCTGAAGAACTGCTGCACGCTGAATGGAGCTAGATCCTCACTCTTGGGTATGAGAGGCAGCCACAGGTCCTCGAAGGTCTCAAAGAGTGAAGCACAGTGAGGCAGCCAACTGTAGGGAGATGGACGTGATCATTTTAGTTCTTGGTTTGTGTTTAATTTTAAAGCACAAAAAGAACTGACATGACAGGTCATATAAATACAAATATTTCCATTGATAGTGTTTTAAGATGTATGGATAAAAAATATAAATGGTAAAAAAGTAAAAAAGTGTGACAGGTCTGAATTTGTATTTTATTTCGCATAACGCGGGTGGACATGCGTCGTCTCTCTGCTGTAATCAGTGGAAGACAGTAACTAAGTACTTTTACTAAAGTACTGTTCTTGAACACAATTTTGAGGTTCTTGTACTTTACTCATGTATTTTAACTTGTTCATACTTTAAAATTGTACTTTATTCTCCACAACATTTATCTTACAGATTTAGTGGCTTTGAAAATTCAGATTTGGATGAATAATGCAACAAATAGTTCATTATTAATTATTATCGATTAGGATAAACATTTACAAAAGCTTTACAAAAGTTAAAAAGCACCTCTTAAATTATGAACACATTAATGCATCTAATAACATACCATAATTATTCTGAAATGGACAGAAGTGCAAGATTAGTACTTTTTATTTTGTGTACTTAAAGAACATTTTGATGGTGTTGCTTTAATGCTTTTGGTTTAGTTTAGTTTGACTGCAGGACAATTACTATTGGAGTATTACTACACTGTAGTATTACCAAGTTTTAAGTACTTCTTCCTGTGGTCTTATTTTGCTTCCAAGAACATGAAAGTAAAACACCTGCAGAACTTCCTGCACTCTTAACTAAATAAAAGCCCTACTGAAAGCACTAGTTACTGCAGTAAGGTTATGCACGTTTACACAACCCCATAGAGACACATTCTGTCCTCTGGATGGAGTACGGCTGGCATGGGACACTGAGGCACTGCAGAATAACTGAGCGGGTGCAAATTACATACATGGATAGAAACAAGCAGAAGCAAGTTTCTACAAATTACAGCGGCTCATGTTTCAGTCATGCAGCCAGCCTCCTACAGGGCGACTATGGTTGAACAGGATATACAACAGGCACGCAACAAAGGATGCAATGGAATCCTAAAGTGAGACCGTGTGTTAAGCAATCCCCTGAAAGCCAGCCTGACAAAGTGGACAAGGTGGTAACATGAGACTGAACCTACAACAGGATTAGCTGTCCTTGTTGTGTACATACCAACAAGCCAATGAGAGACACACTGCAATGATTAAGTCTGGACACGATGTACGGTCTAACTGAAAGTCTGGCTGTGTAGAGTCTGGGGAATTGGCAGTACTCACGTTTGGAGCAGTTCCTCTCTCGTGTTTTGGCACTGTCTCTGGACAAACTCCTCAAACTCAGATGGCAGGAGGGGGAGGCTTTTGGAGAAAAGGTCCTCCAGTCGAACAAATCTCAAGGATGAGAATCTGAAACAAGAATCATTTTATGATTTTTACTTTTTATCCATTTTATTTCATTGCACATTTAATTGAATTATAATTAAATACATGATTTGTACCCAAAGACACACACATCTTTAAGTATTTGTATTTGAATGTCTGAAACCTGATGATGCTTCTGTAACAAAATAATTTCCCAAATTGGAATCAATAAAGTATCTATCTATCTATCTATCTATCTATCTATCCATCTATCCAGCTATCCATCTATCTATCCATCTATCTATCTATCTATTTATCTATCTATCTATCCATCTATCCATCCATCTATCTTTCTATCTATCTATCTATCTATCTATCTATCTATCTATCCATCTATCTATCTATCTATCCATCCATCTAGACAAGAGTTAATCTCAAGGCAAGATTAACATGAAGTTCTGAAATAAAAACAAAAGAGGATGAAGGATGAACAATATCATACATATGAATTCAACAAAACAACAAATGTTACCTAAATAAAGGTGTTTCCACATTAAAGGAACATAAAGATTGTTACCTGTTAAGCCAGACATCCTGCAGCAGGACCATAATTTGACTGACAGTAAACAGATGTTGGCTTTGCCACATGTGGGTTTCCTTGTAGCTAGCTGCCCAGGGCACCGGGGGACGGATCACTCTCCTGGGAAAGGGCTTAGGGATGCTGGATATAGACAGTCTCTGCAGCTCAGATGGGTCCATCAAAATGTAGTCCACTGAGAAGGAACAACATGGAGGACAAATTAGATTAGACTGATTGACAGAATGTAATTCACCTTAGACGAAATATTGATTAACTAAAGCTCCAACTAGAGGGACTAGCTCTTCAAAGCTATATGGTCGTATATGCGAAAGAATAGTACTTTTTTGTAATCATGATGCAACACAATGTTTGAAAATATATAGCAGTGGACAAAACAAAAGTAGAAGTTAGAATTATGTTGTCCAAATGTCAATAAAAACAATCTTAAAGTTATACTGGGGAATGCTTAGAAAGTCTAAATAAAGCAATACCACCATTAAAGTTTCATCGCCACTTTATTGTTTTTTTACCTATACTCTCCTTGAGGCTGAAGTAATAATCTCTTTTGACCTCTTCTTCCAAGTTTGCCCTCATAATCTGGAGGTGTTTACTGCAATCCTCAGTCTCTGGAGGCAGCAGGCGCAGGATGCTCATCATCTGCTGCCGTGGCATAGGGGCCAGCACAGAGCTCGGGATACCAGTGGTGATGTAGTACATATACCTCTGTGTGAGCAAAATGTATTGAAATGTATCAGTAAAGCAAGAGTCAAAAGATTCTAATCAGGGAGTCACATGTTCATTTATGATTTCCTTGCTACTTGCTTTCAGGTCTTTCTCATTAGGGTCTGTCTGTATGGCCTTCCTCTTCTCCTCTTGGCTGTTCATGATGTCCAGCTGCTCTTTAGGGCTCATGGGCCGGCTGCGGGGAGTACGAACGTGCCTCGATCGAGACTTTGGCCGAGGCGAGAGTGAGGCATGAGGAGATGTATCCCTGTGAAAGCATGAACAAATCAGATCAAGGGTTTAAAAGAACATCTTAAAAGATAAACTGTATTTAGAGTTGCTTTTAAAAGCATAATAACCTTCTTCTTGGTGTTATTGCTAGTCTCTTTCCAGGTGGGGCACATGCTAGAAACCTCATTAAGATAAAAAAGCCATTGGTTTTCCAAAACAGTGTTCATCTTTTAAAATGTAATCAGATTACAAAGAATATGGCAGTTTCAGACAGTTGCAGATTAGTCACACAGACTGGTGTTTGATATGAGAAGAACATGAAAGGATACAAGGCCCTGCAGGTTTTGCCAAGGTCTGGCGGAAAGAGTGTCGTCGGTGCTGGAGTTTAATAATCTTTAAGTCCTGAGCCCGGGAACTGTAGTTATTTCCAATAGACTCACTGGGAGTACGATGGTAATGTTGCTCTTTAAAGGGAACTGCAAGTGTCCAAGAATTGGACTGGAGGATGGGTGGGTAATGACTGTGCTTTGAGACCAGCTGGGGAAGAAATAACAACATGAATTTTAAAATTGTGTTTGTTAGCAAGGTTTAAAAAAACGGGTTTCTCTGAAGCATTTGTGTATATGATAGTGATTGATATTCTTACTTGGTACAATTCTGACGGTTCTGCATTGCAAGCCATGGGCAGAGGTGGGGGAACAGGGTATCCTCTGCTCTGACTCATATTGTAGATAGAGTCATCCTCCATCTGTGGACACAAACGGTGAGGGTTGCAACACATAGGACCACTGGCACTTGTTTGACTTGTATTTGCACATTATAATAAACAAATAAATCCTATTTTTTTTATTATTTTAAATAAGCCTCGTTTATTACGTAGTGTTACAAGATGCAATCAAGTGTCTATTGAGACACTATTTCCCAGTTACAGTACTTTACCTTATGTGACAAGTATGCATTGTATTGTTCTTTTAAAGTGACTATAAATACTTACCATCTGCATGCAGAATTCATACAAGTCAATACAGTTAATTTCAAAAACAGACCATATATCAACAATGTTCAGAGAAGCTGCAATGTAATTTTTTTTAAGCAAATCTAGCTGGACAGAGGCATAGCTGGTATCATATAGGCCTCTATCAGACAATATATTATACATAAATGTAATTTCCCAATGAATGTAGCCAACAGTTAAACTTTAGCTAGCAAGGCTAACGTTACCTGTTTTAGTCGTTCCATCTTCTTCAACTTTTATGAGACTGAGAATGAAATACATTAAACGTCAATGAATTAATGGGAAAAACATTTACATATTAACTCTTTATCGGTAACGTTAAAACCTATGAGTCAAAATGAAAGCAAAAGCTGCAAAACATGTTGTACCGTTAGTGTCAGTTAACATTACCTTCATTCGTTATGTAGGCAGGATATCATTCATTGTTGCGCAGCATTAGCTCAAACGTTTTTGTAAAAATGTCCGTCAGCAGTCATAAGTATGAAGTATTAATCTACCACTTTTCTATTGCACAAATGACAGAGCTATTTGAGGTTTACGTGTTGCCCTGTCAATGTTTTGACTAAGAAAAGCCATCACGTTGCTGTAAACTGAAACACTGTTGATCTCCTCCGGGAAAGTCTCCATGGTAACATCAACTATCAGAGAGCTGAGCTATGTGGTGGGCGGGGCCTAGGCGGCTGTTTCCTCATACAGGTCGCACCAGGTGTATTTTATTGTGTTTTATGGTCATAAACCAAACCACCACCACGACTATAATATGATATTTCTGAATGTGTTTAAAACATGCAATGAAAGAAAACAATTGGCTGTGGGTTGGGTTAGTGAGTTGTCCTAATAGTTTACCTGGAAGCATCACCATGAAGCAGATACATTCCGCCCTCTGCTGGCAGTCACTCTGCAGAATGGACCTTCAGATTAAAGTGGACCTATTATGCTATATTGGACAAATATATTGTAGGGCCATACCTATACAAAACATATCTGTGAAGTTTTTTCGTAAAATACCAAACAGTTCACCCATTGTAGCCATGCCTCATACTGCTCATACCCCTCTTTTGCAGCCCTGTTAGAGAAACGCGGATTTTGGGTCCTTAGCTTGAAAAAAAAAGAAGAGGAGGCGGAGCTAATGCCTGATCAGAATTCTACCGGAGATAAAGTTAAATTCTGCTGTGATAAAACGCCATCCTGTTCTAAACCACATCAAAGATTATTTCTGAAACAGTATGGAGCTCAAATGCTTTTTCTCTTGCGGGTTTATCACAAGGTGAGTTCCTTTTTTTATTTCCTGCTTTTTAAAACACATGTGCTCTACAGTACAGGTTAGCTATGAGTGTTAGCGAGGCTTGCTAATGTAAACAAAGACGAGATTACGTCCAAAACACGCCAGGCATTGTTTCTGATAGCAATTTTCTGTGGGTCCGCTGCCGATTTGACAGATCGGCAGCAAATCTGTATCCGCTCGTTGTACCCATAGACTGCATATATAAATGGACGTAGTGTCCGTGACGTCACCCATAGAATTCTCCAGAGTTGCCGAGAAGCCCGTAGTAGGCGGAGTCGGCCACTAACGGCTCGACAGTGACGTCAGAGTCTAACTCTCGCCTGCTCCAGCCTGCTCCAAATAAGGGCAAAGAGGCGGAGCCGAGGCAGGACCTGCTGCCTCCGAACTGGAAGTAAACAGAGCTAGCTCAGACTAAGAAGCTAAGCTAACATGAAATACATGCATACCAAGTTACTGCGTGGCACTTTTTTTGATAAAACAGTGTAGTTCCCCTATATAAACGTTACATTCATAATCAAACGAGACAATCTGCAAGAGAATTAGCTATTTTTTGTTATTCTTAATGCTTGTCATCACGTTAATAAAATAAAAGAAGTACCGATACATAGCAGAACAATTGTGGTGATGTTCAGCTTAATAAGCCTTGTTCAACATCATTTATTTAGCTAATACTACAGCGGGTTGCAGGCGAACCAAGTCCGCGTTTCGCTGCATTCCTTGATCTCCAGTTATAACGCCGGACTCCACCGCCCGGAGCTAAACTAAACTGTATATATATATATATATATATATACATGTATAAAGGGTTACGTCCTTAGCTGGCTAATAAGCTACATAACAAGCTAAGCTAACAAGCACACAAACACCTGCTAACGGGGTTAACATGTATAATATTATCATTTTAGACTTCTTGGAAGTTCTGTTAGTACATTCAAGCGCACAGCACGACATTTTAATTGTCTGGTAATTGTAACAATATTCCCTAAAAGGCACAATCACCACGAACACGGCTAAAGGGTCAAGTACAGTAACTACAACTAACTAACGTTGCAGCGTAGCAGAGTGGACAAGTTGCTGTTAGCTGACAGTGAGGCACGTACCTGTCCATCAACGTGACCACGCCCTAATTTATGCAAAAACTTTAAGACCTAATATAAATAAAAGGGTCGCGTTAGAAAACAATTCACTCACAGATTCATAATCATGAAGGTGGAATCTAACTATATCCATAATAATATTTATTGCATCCAGGGGTAGAAACATGTTTTTTTCTGCTGTAAAATTGGGCATTTTAACATGGGGGTCTATGGAAATTGCTCCTTTCTGCAGTCATCGCCTATCGGCCAATAGATGAACTGCAGTTTGTGGCACTTCCGTATTGGCGTCCCGGCTCTTCCCCAGAGTTTGCCGCTTGGTTGTACCCCTGTTTTTAAAAGATTTGAGTACGGAGGAAAAGAGAGAGGGTTTTATTTTCTGACGCTGCGTGAGTTCCCCGACGCACCAGGGACACATATTTATGTATAAAAGACATCACAAAGTGCATTTTGCATGATAGGTCCCCTTTAAGTATTGTGGGTGTCATTGTAATAGAAGATGAAGTGCAGAATAATTCTCAAAATCACCTTTAACCTAATTTATTATGTACTCAAAAGATTAGAACAAAATTGAATACAATGTAAAATCTCACAAATATATACTCAAATTCATTGATATGTTAATTTTCTTTGTCAGTTTCAAATTTAAATAAGTTTCCGAATACCATTAGTATGGTTTAAATCAAGAAATCCGAGCCACCATAATGTTATGCCATAAGAATAAAAAAATACATATCATCATATGCATAACACAGTCCTGAGCTGCATTTCTTAAAATTATATTCAGGTTCCCAGCTTTGCTTACAGATGATTTTCACCTCTTCTATGTGGCATACTGTTGACTTTTAATCCTCCCCTAAATAAATGTAATGTGAGTTTTTGTTTACAGGCCAAGTTTCATGGTTGCAAAAACTAAATTGTAATCACATTTAAAAACATTTACATTACAGTTCCATGCTACATTTAGGCCAAAGCCTAGTCCCCCACGAAAATGTTTAAGTGCAGGATAATAGTCTAAAAATACTTGTTAAGTTACAGCTTCTGTAAAGATAATAATGTCAGAGTTACCGGCTAACTAGTTAACATTGAACTTTATATAGCTTACTTGTTATCTTAAACGTCATAGGGTGTTAGAGATCGGACGGTCATGTGGGCGGACGAGGCGTGGTTTCTGCTGATGTGAGGCGGTTGTCGGCAGAGGAATCGCCGCCGCAGCTTTCTTTGTCGTGTGTCTGGCTAACTTACTAGTTTTAATCCTTTTAAATATGGTGAGTTTCAGCTATAATTGTATGTACAATGCACTGCTAAATTCTAGCCATACAATCGCTTTTTGTAAGTGAATGCATGCGTCAACATGCTAGCTAACTACGTGCTAACACAAGTGTTAGCTAGCTAGTTAGCCAGCTAGCTCATTAGCACCCTTCGCCTTGAGAAAAAGGCGGACTAGCTGCTAGTAGCTTACATTAGCTCAGCTAACACAGTTAAGCTAGTTAAACTCTATCATCGTGTACTTTTTTTGTCAATGCTATTTTCTTAACTTTCTTGCTGATCAATCGTTGGATAGATCAATGTTTTGCTTATCGAAGATATTTAGATAATTAGCTATCATAATGTAATCTTCCACTATCTTAATTTGGCCACCATTCAGAATGTTGCATGACATTGTTAGCAAAAACTAAAGATAACAGCTATCTGTTGACAAATTTGCATCCGACTAACATTGGTTTATTACAGGCTGAAGGCATTTGTCGGTTTAACAAGTTATTTTGGTTTTCACTACTAATCTAAATTCTATAACTTGCCTTTTATTAAGTCAACAGTTATCACGTGGACATAGCGCAAGAAAGCTAATTCGCATGTTGTGCGATTTTCATGTCGCATAACTCAATAATTCAATCGTTGTTGCATTGTAAGGACAAGCCCAGGAGCAACACCCAGACGTCTCCATCCCTGAAGTTGTCAAATGGCTACGTCTTACCCGAGGGCAAGCTGACTCCCAACGCCCTGTTTGTCGGTGGGATTGACATGAAGGTAAGATCAGGTGCAGCCAGTTCAGTTCATATAACGTTTCCACCTTGTTAAACTGCATACATTACCAACAGTGGCTAACAAGCTGCCGTCAAGCATATATTTGTGTAAAATAACTTTCCTATCCACTTCATATATAAATTGTTATTGTATATAAAAATGGCATTGCTTTACTATTTTACTTTCAGGTGGATGAAAATGAATTGCGAGACTTCTTTGGAAGATATGGTGCTGTTAAGGAAGTAAAGATTATCACTTACCGTGGAGGGGTCTGCAAAGGGTGAGTTTTGCTGTATGGAGACCCTAATGTTTAAGGCACTTTATTTAGCTGATTTTTGCACAAATGTGAAGTTCTTAACATATAAGAACTTCTAAATGTACGGTTGTGAGGTATTTTTACTAAGGGATTAAATAAAAATGAACAACTGCAGTCCTGTGACATTCAGTGTGACATTCATGAAGCATGAATACTGAATTTGTATTAAGTCGTACATTTTCCTCCATAAGAATATTTTTTTCTGAATTTGTTAATCGACTTGTGTGAAAATGTGTGGGTGGAAATTGAAAGATTGTTGATTTGCATTTCAGTTTTATGAATATTCAATAGCTTATTTCACAAGTGGCTTTGAGCTCTAGTTGCTTTTTCCATATTTTATGTTTGTATTGAGTCAATGTTTTTTATTTTTCATTCTGAGTTGTTTTGAATCTTCCTAGGTACGGGTTTGTGTACTTCAATGAAGATGTGAACATTCAGACGATCATTGAGGTGAGTGGAATTCTTTCTGTGCATATATCACTTATTATTTATCAACTTCAACTGAAAGTAACATCTCTGTTAATGTATATTTCCCAATAGCAACCGATTTGTTTTGGGGGCAGGAAACTCAAGCTGGGCCCTGCCATCATGAAAGAAAGGAGCGTCAGTATGTATTGTCATACACTTCAGAGATAATTAATTGGATGTTTGTTTGGCATTGAAAATATAAGATCTACATACTAAACATATGTTTCATCCATTTTCTCCATACAGGAACCATGCCACCCCGTCCGGTTGGCCCTGCTCCCTGGATGAGCCCCCCTCAGTACATCTACTGCACCTGCTGCTCACCCATGGGAGGGGGAATGCCTCAACCTTCACCCATCCTCAGTGGTGGAAACCCCTACAGTCAGGTAATGCAGACAAACATAGCCAAGCTATCAAGAATCTAATTTCAGCAGAGACAGATGATATCATAAAAAAATATGTTTTCACGTCAAGTAAACGCACTTTGGGGCTTTAATAACGCTGTCAATCATACCAATATTCTCTCAGTTACACTCTGTTAAATCAAGGGAAGCTTATTTTCTCTTTGGGGAAGCTGGTTTATTATCTCAGCCAAAAATAAAGGTGCATTATGAATAGCAATTTATTATCTTAGTTTTCAATTTGCCAGAAAATAAAATAAAAACGGAGTTGGCAATTGCATAATTTATAATATTACTAATAATATTAAAGTTGGTGAATTATTCAGACAATACCACCTGTCATAAACACTAGCACTTACAAAGCATTCCTTGCAATAACACTAACATGAAAAACAGTTACTTATCCCTGTAGCTCTTCAGTTGGTTTAAAGATATTCAATAGGTATTTTAACATCTGCTTAACACTGTTTTCTATATTAACATACTTCTCTGTAATGTGGTTTATATGTTCCTCCTGGCTTTCTTTTCAGCCGTACTCCTACCCCAACTTTGGAGGGGTCATGATCCCACAGATGCCAATGAACTATGCACAGAACCCCTACGCCTACCAGGTACACACACACACACTAATTAGTCAACAGTATCCCATGCAGGGTCCCCTAGGCACTGCACATATGCTCCTGCATATGAGATGAAGGCTTCAGCGTGGCTTACATCCACCTGTCCCTGCCTACCCCACACACCCCCATCTCCAGTGTTCTGGGTTTGTCTGTTGCCCTCTGTTTCACCGCTGACCCCTCTCCCCCCACACGCAGTACGCTCCCCCGCACTGGATGATGGACCAGAGAACACCGCCTGACAATCAGGTGACTCCACATTTAGAGGCAATAGAAGTTCAAATCACTTTGAGAACCTTGTGTGGCCAGTGGGAGGAACACATTGATGGAGTCTTTGATTGATGAACTCCATCGAATGTTTTATTTGTATATTACCTAATGTTTTTGTTTTCCAGCAGTGTTTGTGGCAGCACATTGTCCCCACACTGCAATGTTTGGGCAGGCCACTAGGTGGTGTTGTCTTGCCAGTGTTCACATCCTGAAATATGGACTGTGCATCAATGAGTTCTTACAATAATACATTTCTAATGTTTGTTTTTTGAGAGCCTAGTTTATGGCAGGATGACAGCTTTCATGTCTTTGAGATTGTACACACATAAATATGTTGTTAATGTCTGTTCTGTAGAGCTTTGTGGACAGTGGAGTCCAGACTATGATGACTGTGCTGTAGTCTGAGCTACTGAGCCCCCTGCCAGGTAAATAAACACTATTTCCAACTAAGTGTTGTCATACCAGGGATACAGTAGGTAACAATGCGCCATGGAGGGCCAAGCTTCTGCTATCATTTTATTTGAGTGGACATTAATAAATGATTTAATTGTGTTGTATTTAGTTGCAAAGATAAACCATCATACTGTCAGCCTTGTAATGTACATGGTGTCCTATTTGTGTTTAACTGCTTCATCATCTTCATGTTCTGCTTAGCAATTAGTCCATTAATGTTCCGTCCTCAATGTCCCTTCTTTTCATTCTTTACTTCACACATTTGGTTAATGGTTTTTATCTGACCAACACGGCTAATCTTGAGTTGGTATGTAATTTGAAGGAGGAACTTGTGATGTCTGTCCTCTGCTCCCTTAGATTACGCAGCTTTGGCCACAGTTAGACAATGCAGACAAGATGACATCTTGATGTTCCGGGCGGCTGGAAGCAATCGAATGCCTCATGGTTTTTCTTATACATGTAGCCCTCCTCCCTTCTCTCAATGTATGAGACCCATTTTAACACCACACTGTAGGAGCTCTCCACTGTAACTTCTTGTTTGATCACAATCATTTTAATCACACGGTATGGACCGCTGTCGTGTGGTCAAACTGCGTTTAACACACACGGATCACAGTGGCAGTCGCACAGGAAGAAGCACCTCCACCATATAAATGGGCTCACATTCTTCTTCCTTTTGTCGGTTATCCCAAAGGAAAAAAACATTGAAAATACTTTTAAGCTCACCCTTTGTGACTATTTATATTTTATTTTTTTCTCTGTACATAAACAGTAAGTTTATAGATGTAGAAATGTCTTGACAGGTTTCAGCTTTGGAGTAGAATGCTACTTTCAATCCAGTTCAAGTCTAATGCTTCTAAATTAAGAAATATAATTAACTGCAGTATAAGGGCACTTGGTCAATTATTTCAAGCACTCCCATTTTGTTTTGTTTATTTTGTGCTCTATTCCGTTTAAATGGGTGTCGATTGAGGCAATAACTGAACAGCAATTTAGATTATAGTGCCTAATCAGTATCACTGATTTTGTGTCTTGGTCAAACGCCAGACTTTTCAAGTTGATTATCACAGAGCATGGTTCGACACACTGATCATCCGTGTCACATTTCTCAACCGTCCCATCCTCAAATGGTTCCTGACGTTCACACTCAAGGACAATCACGGCATCAATTCATTTTTCCCATTGCTTGTCAATCAACTTATATTTGGCAATATAAGTTGAGTGCGGTTTTAATCCACTCTGAAAATGAAGGACATGATTTAGAGTAAGGAGCTCTGTCTTTCTTATACAAAAATATTCACTGTGCATGGTTCACTTTATACTGTTTCTATCTGGCTTTTAATGGCGTCGCAGATGATAAAGTATTTTACTGTAATGACTGATCAATGATTATTTTTATACATTTATTTTCCTTAAACTTTCTACACTAAAAGTGCAGCTTTGTATGGTGGTAGATGCACATTTGGTATTTGGTGCACATATTTTCTTTTCTAAGACCTAAGTTTTGTATGGTCATTATCCTCAGGGTCTCCTGTGTGCAGACATCTGATTGTATTGTTGTTGTTGTTGTTTTGTTCGAAGAGCCTAGGCACTGCGCTGTTAAGTTTGGTTTAATGTTCATGTTTGCAGGGTTTGGATGTTTTTGCTAAAAAAAAAAATAAAGTATGTTATTTAAGCTTGTGGATGTCTTTGGTTTCTTTGAACACTGGTCAGTATATTTGAGGTTTGGCGATGATGGAGCTTTCAGACACTCCCAGCTACAGTAAGCCTGTCAGTGGATGCTGCTTTTTCCACATCCTATGTCTTCCCTGGCAACAAGCCCATCATCTCTTGGTCACAGAGCATTTTGTTTTTGTCACAGTCTGGTGGTGCGACTGGGCTCCCCAGGGTGCCCTGTTCAGCCTGTGACCACCCAACAGCCCCACCTACCTACACCCCAGTCAGACGTTTGTGAATTATGGATAAGTCTGGATAGCTTCTTATGAAATATGAATTCTCCAAAGCAGTGTGACCAAAAACTGTTATTTGACCCATGGTGAAAACTTGAAAAATCTATAAATTGTATACCCTTTTTTTAAGTAATATGCAACCACTGAGCTGGTTTATTTAATTTCAACCCACAATTTGATTCATACTGTTTCTCAAAGTGTTTCACAGTATCCTATCCAACCTGGAGAAGAGTGAGAAAGCACATTGAGGAGAGAGGAGGTGTGTGTCTGTGTGAAGCTGCCTCTCCTCCTCACACACACGCTGGTGACCGAGAGGGAGACGGTGTGTTTATCATGAGCCGCCCGTGAGATTCAGCAGCAGTCAGATGTATACTTTCCAAATGGAGGATTCATGTTCAGCTCACATTGGATCGCCAGCATCTGACCTGATGTGTGTCATTTCTTAGCAGCCGTGACTAGGACAGACATTAAAGAGAGGAGAGGGGCTCACATCGACACAAGTGAGGAGAGCTCTCAGTACAGAGAACACACCGAGCAGACTGGGGACCACTTGATAGGTGAGTGCAACTCTTGATTGTTAATTTGTATACATAAAAAATGTACTTATTAATATTGTTGACATTTATGAGTATTGGCAACATGATTCACCGGAAGTAAATTAATATATTTTTGTCTTTCTTATCGAGCCATGTGCATTTTCTGGCTGTACAAAATGAGATTTACCAGCGTTTTAAGAACTTGAAACAGAGTTAACGACATGTACATGCGGAAACACCCTATTAAAGTATAGGTCAGGAGTCATCTTTTGAATCCTTTCACAATAAAACTCTTGTGACAGAGAGAAATCCTTTGAGTTTAGACATTCAGCGGCTCGTTTGATTTGTGTGATGTTGTGTGCCATTTGTTATCCGTGGCGGAACGAAATGAATAAGCCCTCTGCTGCTGGCTGTCACAGGTTGAAGTGAACTCAAGATATGCGTGACGAAGTAAAAGTCTCGAGCGCAGATGGAAGAGGGGGCTGAAGTGTGCCTGTGTGTGGGCGCGCGCGCGAAAGATTTGGTGCGTAAGCAACCTGTCATGTATCATTTCCATTTCACTAAACTACCGGCGTTAACGGGCAGCATCAGCTAGCCACGTGTTGGGAGAGTGTGTGAGCGAGTGTGTGTGTGGTGAGAGGTTGAGGTTGAAAACACCAAAGAGGGAAAACCAGAAACATGTAATTTCAAGCAAGGCTGCACGCACAAAATGCAGCGGGCATCAATTAGTCACATGGCTATGTATGGATGCTCACCACCATATAGCTTGGAAATCTATTAGGAAGCACTATACAAAGAAATGTCTAAACATATAAATGATGGAATTATGGAGGTGGAAGAAGTAGCCTACTCATATCTTATAGTTAAGTAAAAGTAGAAGTACCAAAGCGTAGGAATACTTTGTTACAAGTAAAAGTCCTGCATTCAAAATGTGAATCAAGTAAAAGTACATAAGTATAAGCATCAAAATGTACTTTAAGTACCAAAAGTACTCATTATGCAGATTGTCTTATATATAATATATATGTACTGGTTATCGATGAATTAACGTGTTTTTTAAGCTGGTAAAGGTGCAGCTAATTTTGTTGTTGTTGTATACTGCAGGTTAGCTTGTGAATGTTACTCCAGGTGTAACTAAAGTCCTATTATGTATGGTTTATATTTCATATCATTAATCCAAATGTGCAAAGTAACTAAAGATATTACATAAATAAGGTGGGGTAAAAGTTCAATATTTACCTGTGATTTGTAATGTGGTGGAAGTACAAAGTAGCAAAAAATGGAAACACTCAAGTTCAGTACAAGTCTGTCAAAATTGTACTTAAGTAAAGAACTTAGTTACTTTACACTACTGGATTTATGTCCAAGCGTACCTCAGGGTTTAGTAAATTGATTCCCCGGTCCTAACAGCTTTCCTCTGTTAATAAACTGTTATTTTTTTTTGGACAAGAATAGGCTTTGCGACAACCAATACATCAATGTCATAATTTGCTTTTTATCCTCCCCATGCAGCCTCATTAAAACGCCGTTTGAGGTGACTACTTTGTTGCTTGCAGGAATCACACCTCCCTCCAGGCAACTTGACATGCTCCCAGTCTGCTCTCCGTCTGTCTTCCTCACTCCCTCTGTCTGTCTCCCCCTTTCTCCCCCTTTCTCCCTTCCTCCTTCTTCTGCTCTTGCTGTCACCCCCACTATCAGCAGCGTACCCCACCCCTAGATAGAAACTGAGGAGCTCCAACCCAGTGGGAGGGAAGCCCACTCCCCAGGACTCAGTCTGTCACCTCTCATTTAGAAATTCATTGAAAAACATCACATATAATATATTAAGGGTTTATTAACAATAATGCAACCGTTTTTATTTACTTACCTCTGTGTTTTTTGCTGGTAAACAATCACGCAGCTATAAAAGGGAACTTGATTCAGAGTCAAACTGCTGATAGACTATGAATTCCTTGCATAGACATTAGGCAGTGCACTCACAGGTAGTAGGAATTATGGCTTTCAAGCAGGCCCATAAATTCCTATAATAAAGGAGAATGGAAGCCAGTAAAGACAGTTTTATTTGCAGATGCTTGTTGTAAATCAGTTTTGTGCATAGGATGAAAAATACTCAACACAACTGGCAACTGCTTTGTATTATATGCAGCAAACCACTTTTCTTTAGGTGGCAAGACGTAGTCGTGATCAACATTCTGCATTACATTTTGGTCTTTTGAATAACAGCTCAATAAAGACCCTTAATTAGTAACATATGTAGAATCCTTGGCCTCTCTTCAACATTTAAGATAGAATATTTGTATGGATAAGAGACTCATCTGTTGGTGGTTCCCAGAGTCCACAAAATAAGATCAGGTGCTAGAGCTTTCGGCTACCAAGCTCCGTTCCTCCGGAACCAACTTCCAGTGACGATTAGGGAGGCAGACAGTGTCCACACATTTAAGAGTAGGTTGAAGACTTTCTTCTTTGGTACAGCGTACAGTTAAGACTGGTTTTAAACCCCCTTTTATACATCCTCATGGACCCTTCGTTTTATGGGATTGTAATTATTGTACTCTAAATGTATTTGTGTCATTGTGTTATGTTCCTCTTTAAATTGGTATTTTCACATTGATCTTGTAAGATACGTTTGTTATTTTTACATTGTTTTACATTGCGTTTACATTGTCAATTGTGTTTGTTGATTTGTGAAGCCCTCTGAGACAAATATGATTTGTGATATTGGGCTATATAAATAAACTTTAATTGAATTGAATTGAATCTGTGTCTTGCAACTATACTGGTTTGGCTGAGATTCGACTACCAATGGGCATTTGTTTTATTTGTTTGAGAGAATCAGAGAAGCAATTATACACCTTTTTTGCTCTTTCCTTCACATCCGTAACATTTTGCTAAATGCCACACTGCTATGGGCATTGGCCCTTATTGTTAATGCTCTGGAAGATTTGTTAAAAAATTTGATTTATTCCAACCAATATTTTTAGGGACATGTGTAAGCGCAGAGTGGCATTTGCTCTGCTAAGCCCATAATTATTGGGATGCTTCAAAATGCATTATCACACTCATACTGTAACCACAGAAGAAATGGATGGGATGACGTTACAAATATTGCATTTAGAGCTAGACCATTAAATCAGCCAGTGTGTTGGCCATATTATTGGTGTACTGCAGATAAATCAGTCTTGGTGTATATAGCGGCTTACAAATAACAAGAAATTGCAGAACAGAAACAACACATCCATGTTTGAAGTAATTTAGAAACTATGTCATTATTGCTTACTTATTTCTTAATATAACAGCTGTCCCTACCTGTAGCTAGTCAGCGCAGTAGAGGATTATGATTAGTGAGTTTATATTTATATTTACCATCTACTGTAATTGTTTGGGAGGAAGAAAACAAAATGTGAATTGAAGAGGTGGTTCTTTCTATATTTACTGTTAATTACCCCAAGCCTGTGTGCCCGTCTGTACAGTAGCTCTCCCTCTGCAGCGGATAAATGCTGTTTCTTGGAAAGCAGACTCCCCCCCCCCCCCCCCCCCCCCCCCCCCCCCCCCCCCTCTGAGTGGCACGGGAGGTAGCAGAGCAGTGGCATAGCACAGACGGATTATACTCTCGTGTAAATCTGCTGTCATTTCAAAACTCTCGGTTACAAGAGACTCTCTAATGAGAAGCCCTCTGCTACTCCGTGTCTATCTGCCTCTTCACTCCATTCTGTCGCTTTCACTTCTTTCATCTATCTGTCTCTCCCGTCTCTCTGTGTTAAATGGAAGTTTTTTAGCTGTCAAGGCCTTTTTCTGTCTGTATGCTTGTGTGGAGAAGCGAGAGATTCTGTTTGAAGTCAACATGTAGAGAAAAAGGCCTCATATGTTGCGAAAAGGCCTCGAGTCTAGGAGGCGCTGGGAGTTTCTCCCGTGCTACAACCACTTTGGTTTTTCATTCCACGTTGTGTCCAATTACAGAGCTCTGTTTCTAAATGGTGCAGACAGAGTTCATCTGTTAAAGCGAGGCCTTTTGTTTTGAAACTGAACCATCCGCGTACAATACAAAGGACAAAGACATGTAGGATCTAACAGTAGGGCTGGAGGCTAGTCAAGACCAAGACTACAGAGCCAATCAGGTTTCATTTGAGAGCAATACATCCAACTGCCCAAAGCAAAATAGTAAGCAAGATATTCCAAATTGTTATGATTTTTTAGCACTGCACAATGCATTATGCATAAAGACATTTTAGAAAATTGAGGTAATTTGCAATGGGGTAATAAATTGTATTAAGATGGGTGAGAAAGTCTCTCCCCACAGACAATTTCTCTTACCCTATATGCCGATCTTCACATTGTCTTCCTCCCAATTGTCAAACAGCTACCATTATTATCATATTTGAACTACATTTTTCTTCTTTATCCTATGCTCCACCCTAACCTAATTTTTCCCAGCCACAGATTATGCCTGATAAACATTCCCACATTAACCTGCCTGTGTCCTTGTTGCAGACAGAGCGTATTAAAGCACAGCCCTGGAGGGGAAATATGTAGCAGTGGATATACGCTCCAACTTATTCATGTACCAGGACCTACTTGACTGTCTGGCTGTCTGTCTGGAGACAGTGTAATAGTTTTATGGGACTTAAAAGGCTCAGTGGGGGAGCACTTTGGCTGTGAAAACTCATTTAGCCACCAGACAGAAGGACTGGACAGACGGAGGATGGCTGGAGAGGGTTTGAGGCCTGGGAGGGAGCGTGGAAGGACATAATGTAACATTATAATCAATGTTTTATAAAAGAGGCGCCACACTAAGAGTCAATTTCCTGTATCTTTGTCACATGGGCTTTATCACAACCGCGCCCCTTCAGGAGACTGGCTTCAGGTCTGAGACCATTAACTCCACTGGGAGAAGTGAACACAGATTATTACTGATTCCTTGGCCCCATAGTCACCAAAGTCAATATTGGCCCCATTTCTTACAAGCTGCATGGCTTCCAAAGATTCTGACAATAAAATGGCTATTTTCAGACAGAAAGGTCTGGAGAAAACACTTTTTTTTCTGAATTGTCTGTCCCAATAACACACACTCTCAAAATCGTTCAAAACATTGCGTTAGTATTAGTCAAACTGTGTCAAAACTTTAAGCTAACATCAACTAACATTCGCAAAAGACCTAGCTAACCAATTATGGTAATGCTAACCACATTCTTTTAGCTCTATATCTAATGCTAGCAAAATAAAATATAAGTACATTAGACCATGCCCATTTAGGGGACAGGAAGTTTATACCATTTCATACCATTGGCGCCAATTGTAAAGCGCTATCTTTTTCTTATTAAGTATCTTTGTTATAATGTATCTACAAGAAGAATTGAGGACAGTTGAAATGGATGGTTTGACAATTATGAATTAAATAGCAGAATCAAGAGAGTAGAGTTAAGGGAACGGGTCGAAGAGGTAATACTTGAGGGAAGCTAGGAAAACAAAAGTGGACAGATTGAGTTAGAGTAAAAGTCAGGGAAAACTGAAGATGAAACGGGTAAGGATTGGAGCTCTTGTAATCATTGGTTAGGAAAAAAAGGAAAGACATACATGACGAGTATACTGTCAGACTAATCAAGGCCATTGTACCAGGAGAAAGAATGGAGTTGTCCTAATCAAGGATGGCGGAGAGAAGCCCAGCAGAGGCCAAAGAGAGAAAGAGGTGATTAAGGCATGGGTCAGACAGGAGCAGAGAATTGAGCGATGACACATTGAAGAGCTAATGCGAGTTTGAGAGAGGAGCACACAGGTCAAGAGGAGAGAGAAGTGGTGGGAGGAAAAAGAGAGGGAAGAATAAGATGAGATATACTGTTGCCTCTCTGTTTCTCCTCCTCTTTCCCAAGCTTCACCCCTTTGTCTCCATTGGTTTGTCCTCATTATGAAAGAGCATGTTGTATAGAAAGAATAATGGCTCCTAATTGCTTGTTTTTGCAAATTCTAAAATGACAGTGTACCATTTGAAGACAGATGAGGTATGACAATGTCACGTAGATGCTGCCTTTTGCAACTTTGTAACCTTTTGAAAATGCACTTACCATCAAAGTAAGTCACCAAAACGTGCACACACACACACACACACACACTAACACACACCGGGCTTAATGTCGTCTGTCAGGATCGTTAGCCGAGTTAATGTCTGTGCACTTGGCTCAATGGGAGTGACTGTGTCATTCTCCATGCTCCCTAAACAGATACAGAGATGCAGATATAGACCTGCCTCTAGGGAAGACACACACACACACACACACACACACAGAGACATGCAGATATGCAGATATGCAGATGTGGACCTCACCGTGTGGCACTTACAAGCCGTGGCAGACGGGGATATTAAGCGTAACCGCGGTGATGGTTTGAGTTTTTCGACGCTGTCACATCCAATTAGCTTGATGATATTTGACCACGCCCTTTTTCCTCTTGTTCTTTACCCCTCTCTCTTGTCCTCTCTTCTCCCAACCTCCATCCATTTGTCATTCATTCACTTCCACTTACCAATTCTCCCAAAAGACTCACTTCTTTTTGTTTTTCGTTTTTTGCCCCATCTTTTTTCTAAATTGCCTGTTGGAGAGGAGGAATTTAAAAGGGAATTTAAGGCAATCTTCAAATTGTGTTTCCAATCTCCTACGCTTGAGGGTTTCTCCTGGTCCTTACAAAATCTGAAAGACTCTTACAATACCATAGATTTCTTTGTGCGACAAGGCTACTTGCATCAACATATAAATTGGTTAGCAGTAAAACATGTTTAACGTCTCTCCTCTCCTCCCCGTGTAGTCACATGTCGCTTTGCTTGACAGGGCAGGAAATCGCTCTCATTTCTGCTTTAATTCATTCTGATCAAACATGTCGCTCCCAATCAGCCCCATTTGATTAGGAGATGCCCGTATCATAGCCCAGCAAGCAGGTAATGGCTGACACTTTCATAATTCAGCTTTACTGCAGCGTGTGAGTGTGAGTGTGAGGAACGGAGATAGAGTTTGAAGCATACATTATTTCCCACAGCTTGAGTTCACACGTGAGAAAGCATTCCAACTTGTGACACACACAGACTCACACACACACACACACACACACACACACACACACACACACACACACACACACACACACACACACACACACACACACACACACTCACACAGAGACGCGCGCACACACTCTGTTGGAAGTGCTAATATGTTCTGTATATTTAGAAACTCAATTTTTCCCTCTTGAGTCTTTGTTAGCACTCTCACTGTGTTTTTCTCTTTTCATCTCTCATCTTTTTTATTAACACTTATTTTTTCCTCTCCTCTCTTCCTCTCCTAAATCACAGAGATATGGGGTGTAGGCTTCCTAAGTTGCGGAAGGCAGAAGAGAGGCGAAGCCCGGGTAATATCTACTCCACCCTGCGAAGGCCTCAGGTGGAGACCAAAGTGGGCGTGGCATACACCTACCACTTCCTGGATTTTCTGCTGGGGAAAGAAGGTATGGATGAAATTATCTAGGTCCTGTCAATCATTCCTGTTTAACAGTTCTCCTGTGAGCACTAAATATTGTACATATCTCCATCTATGTGTGTTCCTTTGGCTTGGCTCCTGAAACCCAGTGAGATGAGATATCCATGTGACTTCTTGTCTCCCACACTTGCATTCTCGAAATAGTCATACAGTATGCTGCTTGTTTTCTCTGTCAAAGACCAAAGATAATGATTGTGATTTAGAAATTCAAGCATTTTGTTCTTTTACCAGAAAATACTTGGGTAGAGATCTGTCAATCACAAGGTAGTCCCGCCCTTAATAGTATACTTTCCTCGCACAATGTACAAAATGAATATTGTGCTCTTTTTAAGAAGAATTACAACCAGCAATTGAAACCAGAAAGTCATCATACATATTTGTAGTAAAGCAAGTTAGGAGAAGGACATTTTCTCATAGACTTCTATACAATAGGACTTATTTGTTCACCCATTTGAATGAATGCAAGTTTAAGGTTCTTTCCTATTTGCTTCACTTTTCACACCCTCAGGTTGACGCATTTACAGCATATATTCTGTTTTGTGTTAATTA